GAAAATCTTTGTTAAACCACTTCTTGTGCAAAGTCCATATGAAACACAAACATTTTAATCCTCAAAACAGCGAAAATGTCAAACGAGTTTCCTTCCACTAAAACAACGAAACTGTAGCTGTAACAAAATCATTTAGTAAAATAAACCAAAAATACTCTTGGTGATATATCGATAGAGCAGCCCACAATATCGATACTGTGTCATCACATTAAACGATACGATATATCGATATTTCAATATTTTTGCACACCCCTCTACTCTTTATCACACTGTACTTTGCCACGAAATATCCAAAAGGTAAACGCACAAATGTTAAACCTGGTATTGAAATGATTAAAAAACTCACTGTTAGAAACACAATGGCCACGTTCACATGATGTTTTTTAATTGTTCTGGATTAAATTGTTTGGACTTAAAATATTTTCCTTGGAGTTTACATGGAAATAATAATTCTGAATATCTGGGTTTCACGTGACATTACAGGGCGACGTTTGTCAGCACGCAAAATCAGATGGAGGGCAAGAAGTGAACCGACTGGAGGGAAATGCCGATGTGTTGTGCAGTTTACGGCTGTGCCAATTGTTCTAACCGAGAGAAGGAAAAGCGATTTTTTTAGAGTACCGAAGATAGTCGTCCACAAAGGTCAGAAATGGGAAAAGCTGACAGAACAACGCCATAAAAAGTGGATTACAAACTAGAGCCCGACCGATATGGATTTTGCTGTGGCCGATATGAAACCGATATAATGGGAGTTGGCGCTGCCGATATAATCACCGATATATTTAGTGATGTAAAAATTCACTGTAAATGTTAAATTAAAATTCTACGCATGATTACAAGCAAAAAAGTCAATCATTCTGCACCCCTATGACGAACAGGAAGTCGGCCATATTGGATCAAACATTCGCCGCCGTTTTGACTTGGGGGTCTACAAAAAGATTCAAGTCCCCGGGGTTTGGTCCAAATTAGCTCAAATTTGACATGTCACATCTACAGACATGAACTCACAGAAGTTGCCAAATTTTTTTGGGATACTCCTTACAGTTCGCCCGTAGCACGCCGGCGAATAACGCCTTCATTTCCTGCTTTTTCTGTGACCTGTCACGGCCACAGGCATTGTCCTAGAGAACTCAAATTCAAATCACAATTGCGTGATCCAGGTCTGAATGTGATGAAATATGAAATTTAATAAAAGTGAACTCTATAGCGCCCCCTAGCATAGACGTGAAACATCAACATTATCGGATTTGGACCAAATTCGAGAATTAAATTCTATGCATGTTTACAAGCAAAAAAGTCATTTTTTACGGTTGGTCAGCAGGGGCGCAAAGACTACCCCCCAAAAAATAGTTAAAAAATAATTACACACACAGGCTTAGTCCGATCGTGCTGAAATTTGAATCACTCATGCCTGATTTCGACCTGATTATAATACACTATAAAACATATGAAATGTGAACACTATAGCGCCCCCTAGCATTGACATGAAACGTCAACATTGTCAGATTTGTACCAAAGTCGGGGATTAAATTCTATGCATGATTGTAAACAAAAACAGTATATTACGGATATTGGGCATTTTTCATGGTTGGCCAGTAGGGGCGCAATGACTCCTCTGAAACATTTAAAGGTGCATTATTTAATGTGTCTAATGGACGAGCTGTCGACCTGGGCGGATGTAGGGAAGAGAGGGTGGCGTGCCGGGGCGGTCGCGAGTCCCCGGAGGTCGCGTGGGGGGGGGGCGGTGCGCGCCCGGGGCGAGGGCCACCATCGCCGCGCGCGGCTTTAATTTTATATTATGCTTGTTCTGGTTTCAGTGTTACATTTATTTTAATAAGAAAAGGTTTAACATTACATATCTCGAAAGAAGAGAAAACATGCAGATGTTGTTGAAAATGTTCAATAAATATTTAGTTTGGCCCACGACTTAGTCCTAGTTTTTAATTTTGGCCCTCTGTGAATTTGAGTTTGACAATCCTGGTTTAGAGTATCTCTTAATTAGGGCTGGGCTTATGACATGTTTTTTCCTTGTTTTGACTGACCATTATATTTGATTTTATTTAATTTTGTATGACTTAAATAAACAAAATAGCTTTCAGTATTAATTTCCTGAACTGAACAATACAGTTCTTCCTAAATATCTGAACTCCACATGATTTTTTGTTAACAGAAGATTGGCTGTAGAGCTCTTAATTCAAAAGCCAGAAGCTTATCATTGATAATTAGAAATGACTGAACTCACTCTTGATTAAAATTAATTGCATAACCGTGTTCTTAATATAAGCTTGCACAATACTGAAGCAGTACCATAACACTACATCCCATTGTTCTTGCAGATTTGCCTGCAGAATAGTTAGCACCTGTGGTTCTTAGAAAAAATATTTTTTTACTTCCACTGTCAGACTTTCTGTAGTTAAGTCGAGTCTGAATGTTGTGTTACCTGGGTATCTTTCCCTGATATCATGAGCTTTGTATAGCCAAATTTTTGCTGAAGAGCAACTTGACACACTTATGTGGTAAATTTTTACCAAAACTAAATTCACTGTTCTGTTTTTCGTCAACAGCTATCAAGATCTTTGTCGCAACCAAAACAAGTCGAGGAGCTGGTGTGGAGGAGGCTGAGCGCAACAGAAAGTTTATATTTGAAAAGATGAGCACTGAAATTACAGAGATTATCAGAGTGCTACAGCTCACCACATGGGATGAAGATGCCTGGGCCAACAAGGTGCAAACTGTTCTTTTTAAGTCACTTTAAATCACTTTTTGTTTGTTTCACACACACATCTGCTGAGGTCTTACATGCATCACTCTTCGAACATTTCCAAATTCAGTCTTTTCTTTTTGCTTGGTAGTATAACTTTCCTTTTCTTTCTTTACCTCCTTCGTCTCTTTTCCTCCTTGTAGAAGGTAAGCCTGTTCCTATGCAACTCTGCAGTTTCCAGCATGCACTGTGTATGTGGGATAAACAGTCTCTACGCTTCTCCATGCTGGTTTAACAATATGTGTGTTGTCCACTGACTGTACCTGATGCGATCATGGACTCATATCTCATCAGTATATTGTGCATCTGTCCGTCTCCAGTTGTGCAGATGGAACAACAGTGGGTTTAACAGCTTTTAATGTGTCTGAGGATGTGATCTATAGGAAAAGTCCAGTGTAGTCATGAGATCAAAGCTGTGTACAGGGTTAAGTTGTGTCCCACTTGTCTAACCTGAATCCCTGCATGCCTCTTTGCACACAACTTCCTCAAACACTGATCAGTCTTTGTGTGTTTGTTTGTATGTCTAAGTGGATTTATTACATACCCAGTGGATGTGATAAGCAGTTTGTCGAACTGCGGCCTCCTCTGAGGTCATGAATTATAGAAGTACTCTGTTCTGTGTCCAGACACATCCATAATTTATGAACAGCTGTATTGAGTGGGACCACTCGAGCCATTTTTTCCCTTCACAGAAAGGGGAGGCACCTAAGCTACATACTGTTAATGCAGGACTGTCTTTTAAACAGAATTTAATTAGCATGAGTGCTTGTATTACTAATTGATTGGTTCATGACTAGTGCTTCATTGTTGTTCAATGATATTTAGTAGTATCATAATAAATTAATCAGTGTCATTATACAGTGATTATTGTTTAAAAATGTGAAGTACTTTATTGTTATGAACAGTTTCAGTTCATTAAAAAAATATATTGATAAATATGAAATATTTAAAACTATCAAACTAACTTATTTCATGTGCATTGTTGCAACTGTAAACAATGCCCCTGTGTTTTTCAGGATATGGAAGCTCTGAAGAGATCTCTGGCAGTGATTGAGTCAAAGATGGCTCAAGCTAAAGCCTGGCTCAAAGACCCTCATGGACAGCCTGGTAACCTGTCATTGTGACGCTCTTTAAACTAATGTACTCTATGTGTGTTGTTTATCTTAATCTGTCTCTTATAGGAGAACCTGGTGAGGTGGCTCTCCGTGTCATTCTGGACGAGGCTGGTAAAGTGGGGGAGCTTTGTGCTGGAAAAGAGAGGAAAGACATTTTAGCCACGGCTAAAGCTCTGGGGCAGATGAGTGACCAGATCACAGATCTGAGGGCCAGGTACATGTGACTTCATTCATTCTGTTGGATGCTGTTAACAGACAGAGGCTGATGCTGTTTACATTTGAACAGAGGCCAAGGGCAGACACCAGGCTGTGTGCAGCGGGCCGGTCAGTGCTCTCAGGGCTTAGACTTGTTATTTGGCAAAGTGGACAATGCTGCACGCAGACTAGAGGCTCTAATCAACGCAAAGCAGGCCATTGCCAGGAGACTGGATGCTGCACAGGTCAGATAAAACTGGCCAGAAATCCAAGTTAAACCCTGGCCTCTCCACTACCATGAATGCATCCTCTCTTCCGTGCAACGTATGAAGAGCAATAGTCTAACACACGGAAAATGTTTCTATTGTGGTAGGCTTGGCTAGCTGATCCTCACGGGGGTCCCGAGGGAGAAGAAAACATTCGAGCATTGTTAGCTGAGGCTAAACGCATCGCTGATCTGTGTGAAGACCCTAAAGAAAGAGATGACATCCTTCGCTCCATCAGCGAGATTGCAGGCCTCACTGCCAGACTTGTGGAGCTCAGGAAACAGTATGTCATTCTGCCCTACCATCTACAATACGTGACCTACTGATTTATATAAATACATAATAATAGAAAGACTATTTGTTTTAGGTTCAAAATACAACCACACCCCATCAGTAGGTGGAATATTTTATCAGGCTGGAAAATATGTTGTTGCCTGACATCCTTAGGCATTACTCCAAGTCCGGTGATAAGGTTGAAATCATTTACATCTATCAAATGTGGTTTGGGGTTTTCATGGGCTTTTTCATGGCCTAAACTAAGTACTAACATAGAAAGGACTCTCTTCCGCTGTCCGTATATAGACAGTATGTTTCTTATGTTTCTCCAACTTGCTTAACTAATAGAAATCAGGGAATACCAAAACATTTGGTACATTATCTGCCTGCAAATAGTAGTCTATGATTTTCTTTCACTTCTCCAATCATTATAAACCTATGCTAAACTTTTGCTTTTCATGACTGCAAAGGGAAAATCTCAACTCTCTGTTATTAATCTTAAACTGTTTTTATTATTCTCATCCCAGGGGTAAAGGTGACACCCCTGAGGCCCGAGCTTTAGCCAAACAGATTGGCGCAGCATTGCTAACTCTACAGTCCAAAACCAACCGCGCTGTGGCTAACATGAGGCCGGCGAAGGCTGCTGTGACTTTGGAGGGAAAGATGGAGCAAGCACTGCGCTGGGTGAACAATCCCGGAGTGGACGACAGAGGAGTTGGTGAGTGGCATTAAGTAACTACCCACGGGAGTAATTGGGATTATGACATACTGAAAGATATGCTATATTCGGATACAAACACTTAGCCAATATTACGTGAGTTATTTCCTTTGCTGACACTGAATACATATAAATATAAAAGGGGAAGTGTTGTAATTTTTGATGTATTATAATAGTCTGAAATGCTACGTGTAATGCCATTTCCCTATTTTGTGGTTTGTATATTTCTATTTTTTGTCTTATGCTTGCACGTGGGAGCAGAGTGTGAGATACTACAGTGGCACGAAGGTATTGGCCTCACAATCTGACGCAAATCCAGCCATTACCACTCCATCATTCATCAAATACATTTTCCTTTTCCTTATTTGAGGTTTTTTTTTTTTTTTTTTTGAAAGGTGGGGTGGAATTTGGCAGGTGCTTACACTTTTTCTACTCCTCAGGTCAGGCAGCGATCAGAGGCATGGTGGGAGAAGGCAAGAGGCTGGCAGGGGGCCTGCTGGGTCCATATCGACAGGACATGGTTGGACGCTGTGACCGGACAGAGGCACTGATGGGGTCTTTAGCCGAGATGGCAGGTCGGGGTGAGGCTGAGGCACCCCATGCACGAGCTACAGCTGCTCAGCTCCAGGACAGCCTGAAGGTAAAACTTTATTGAGGGACTGATCAGAAACCTATTATAGAGCTCCCCCTAGTGGACTGACCTGAGCTGTGCCTCTCAGGATCTCAGACAGCACATGCAGGATGTGATGACCCAGGAGGTTTCAGATGTTTTCAGTGATACCACAACCCCTGTAAAACTCCTCGCTGTAGCTGCAACTGCCCCTCCTGATGCTCCCAACAGGGAAGAGGTTAGTGACCAAAACCTACTTTCTGTTGACCCTAGTTCACTTTCACTACTCTTACCTATACAATAACCATATGATAAATTAATTTTTGAAGGTTTTTGAAGAGCGGGCCGGGAACTTTGAAGCCCATGCTGGCCGGCTTGGGGCAACAGCAGAGAAGGCAGCTGCAGTGGGGACAGCCAATAGGAGCACAGTGGAGGGCATCCATGCTGCTGTGAAACATGCCAGGGAACTCACTCCACAGGTACTTCTGCTTCTCTGAGTCCCACATTTAAAATTATAACAAATCATGTTATGTTTTTTGTATTTAATGTCCAGGTGACTTCTGCTGCTCGTATTTTGTTGAAAAATCCAGGAAACAAAGCTGCATATGAGCACTTTGACACAATGAAAAACCAATGGATTGACAATGTAGAACGACTGACTGGTGAGCTGCATATCTTATCAATTATGCAATGTAATGTTGAGTAAAAAATAACAACTAAAGTGGGCTTTCATTTACCTATGTTTAACCAGGTCTCGTAGATGAGGCTATAGACACAAAGTCACTATTGGATGCATCAGAGGAAGCCATAAAAAAAGATATTGACAAGTGCAGAGTAGCTATGGCCAATGTTCAACCTCAAATGCTGGTTGCTGGGGCTACGAGCATTGCAAGGCGAGCTAATCGAGTTTTACTTGTGGCCAAAAGAGAAGTGGAAAACTCTGAAGATCCACGATTCAGAGACACAGTGAAGCATGCCTCGGATATCCTTTCTCACACTATCTCCCCCATGGTGATGGATGCCAAGGCTGTGGCTGGGAACATACAAGACAAAGGTACAGCCTCAAGGACAAATGCAATTATGCTAATAATTGACTCACTGATAAATTGGTCTTAATTTATTTCCTATAGCTTTGCAGAAAGCTTATCTAGACTCCTGTTTGCGGATCCTGGCTGCAGTGGGAAAAGTCAGAGAAGCCTTCCAGCCACAGGAGCCCGAGTTCCCTCCTCCACCACCTGATCTAGACCAGCTCCATGTAAGCTCTATACAATACCACTCTCACAACTAGCATTTAAATTAAAGCCTTGATAAATGACACTTTGTAGACTGTGATGGCCACTTTCTTCTACTCTGACTGTGAACATTCAATGAGCTTTTGTATAACTTCCAAGTGCAGACTGATTTAACTGAACCTGAACTGACAACATGGTTTAAAAATAAATAGTTTATAGACTTTATAAAATCTGTTTTTTGAGTGTTTTGGTGGCTAGACATCAAAAAGCGGCTATATATATATGGCTATATATATATATGGCTATATATATATATATATATATATATAGGGAACGGTACCCAATGTAAAGAGCATTGTTGTCATACAAGTTTGAGCTGTACATTTTCCATAGGTGGTGGATGACCAGCAGGCTCCCCCAAAGCCCCCTCTACCAGAAGGAGAAGTGCCCCCTCCCCGCCCCCCTCCTCCTGAAGAGAAGGATGAGGAGTTCCCTGAGCAGAAGGCTGGAGAGGTGGTCAGTGAGCCCATGATGGTGGCAGCCAGACAGCTGCACGATGAGGCTCGCAAGTGGTCAAGCAAGGTCAGTTATCACTTAAGAAATGTCATGTACGGTTTTGCATTTTCTCTCTGATGACTGAAGTACTTTTGGTTGAAATTGACATGGTTTGTCAGAATCTTCTAATGTCTTGAAGTCCAAGTTGTGAAGTTATGATTGTTCTGAAATGTGGATCAGTGGTTCAAGTCCAATTTCAGTGGGAAACTGGAAACTGTCATCAGGTGTCTGCATGCAGTACTATTGTAATGGGTACATATGCAAGTAATATTACAGTACATGTGTGTTATGTCTGAGAAATGTATCTGACAGCCTGTATTGTCAATGTTTACATGTTTTTAAATGTTTTAATGTCCGATCTTGGAGTCAAATGATGTTATTTGGGAACTTTTCAAACATAATACATATAATCAAATAAGTCTTTTAAACAAGACACTACGCCACTTCAATACCATTCAGCAGCTTCCCGCCCAGCCTCTTTGTGTTATTCCTACTGAATTCCCATTTCTTCCTGCACGTGTCCACTTCTACCCCTCCCCGTGCTTCTCAATGCCTGTATTGGTCCTTCTTCCTGTAAATCTTCTGTCCGCTAGTCTGTCCTCCGATGCCTCTCATACCTTACTAAATCGCTCCTTTTCCCATGCTCCCTTTCCTGCCGACCCTGCCTTCTTTTGTCCCCCCCCTCCCCTCCCTCTGTCCTTCAAACCCCACCCTGCCCAGCCTGAGGATGAGGAGGCAGGAGAAGAGAGGGAGGTAGATGAGGAAGATGATTTTACTGATGGTGAGGATGACTATGAGCCAGAGCTGCTGATGATGCCCTCCAACCAGCCAGTCAATCAACCCATTCTGGCAGCTGCCCAGTCTCTACATCAGGAGGCTCGCAAGTGGTCCAGCAAGGTCTGCGCACATACATGCACATGCACATAAGTGGGAGTCACATAGTATTTTCACCTCTCTTGGGGGTGTTAAGTACTGTCTGTCCCCATGGTTACATGCATATCCACGCATGCAAACAAGTCTCTGGCCTAGACTGAGGAAGCCATGCAGGACAACCTCGGAGCACTAGCTGAAAGTGGAAAACACTGAGCTCTGCATCTGCCACTACTTTGGAAACTACAAGCTGGCTGCTGTTGCATCACACTATGGTTGACACATGGTTTTGCTGATATCATACTGAACCAGGATTGTTGAGAATGGCAATGGTTTGTGCACCACATGAATAAACTGGTACTGGCTTCACAAGGCCTTCTTTAGGTAAAAATGTTTTTTTTTTTCACTGTTTTCACTGTTCACTTACTGACTCACAAACCTGTGAAGCCAAGGATGACAGTTTCCCAAAGACTTCTGGGTGATGTAGTTTTGGCATTAGACTGCCTGCTTGCTTTTGTATTTATGCATAATTTCACAATGTGAATGCTGCTCTTCCATTAACATAAACTATGTCAGTGCTAACTGTATTGTATAGGACTAAAACATTTTAACAAATTACTTTCTTCAATGGATTTGTATTTGCATGCAGCCTTCATGCTTTGTAGAGCTTGGTTTGTTAGCACAATTTGTGTTCTCTGAATAATTGAAATAACGCATACACAGTATCAAAAATGTCCATACTTTTACTCTTGAGCCTTCACAAACATTTTTTGTGTGCAAATTCTCATATTTCAGGGTAATGACATTATTGCAGCAGCCAAAAGAATGGCTTTGCTAATGGCAGAGATGTCTCGACTGGTGCGTGGTGGAAGTGGAAACAAACGTGCCCTGATTCAATGTGCTAAAGACATCGCCAAAGCTTCAGATGAAGTAACCCGGCTGGCTAAAGAGGTGGCCAAACAATGCACTGACAGGCGTATTCGGACTAACCTCCTGCAGGTACAGTTACAGTATTACTCAAAACAACACTTAAAGACACTTCTCATTGGTTGTTCTTTGATTAATTCATGATTTAGACTTAGGTGGATTATCTTCATCCACAAGGGAAATTACTTGGAGTAGTTCGCACATAATAACAAAAAGCAAAAAAATAAATGGTAATTAATTGTAAGTAATTAAAGTACTAAATAAATGAAAAGATTTGTCACATAAGGTACAAATATAGAGATTTGTATAGAATAAAATAAAATAAAATACAGTAACTATAAAATCAAGACAAAAAGAAGATACAGTTGCCTAATGTTTATGTTCATTTGAAAGGTGTGTGAACGAATCCCTACCATAAGTACTCAGCTGAAGATCCTCTCAACTGTCAAAGCTACTATGTTGGGACGAACTAACATTAGTGAGGAAGAGTCTGAACAGGTAAGTAAAAACATAACAATGCCAGCTTCATATTTGTATATTCTTCATATATTCTCACAAAGTCATTTTTTTTCCCTCTCAGGCCACAGAGATGTTGGTGCATAATGCCCAGAATCTTATGCAGTCGGTGAAGGAGACTGTTAGAGAAGCAGAAGCAGCTTCCATTAAGATCCGCACAGACGCTGGCTTTACCCTTCGATGGGTTCGTAAAACTCCTTGGTACCAATAAAATCCACACACAGTGTTCATATTTGAGGTACTGTGGATGTCTTAAGACTACTACTAATAGTTGGTGGAATGTGTCATCAAGCTTTTTAACATGGGAAAACAGCATACTTGTCACAGTTTTATTTAAACATAAACATTTAAAGGTAGACAGGTTTAATATATATTTTGCTATGTTTTGTTTGATGAAATTTACCCGAATCCCAGGTATATATTTTGGCATGAAGATTTTTGTTTTCTATTTTATAAAAATAGCACAGTTATTCTATTCAGTTTGTAGTAAGAGTAATCTTTGTATATACAACATTGTTTTTGTTTTATGGTCACATATTTTAGCTTTACTGACACTATTTTGAAGAGTCGTCTGGACTCTGTTTACTTTTGTTCTTAACATTAAAATTAGTAGTAATACACTCTATGGCCCTTTCAGGTGACGGCTACATGCCACTAAGATATAGTATTTACGTACATTTAGCTATTTTATACTATTTTCTGCCACTCAAAACACTTAATGGCCAGGAGGTTTTACTTCTGAGGTGCTGAATGTGAGACTATGAAGTTTAAATCAGACTTAGCTTTTTGAGTTTTCTAAATATTTATATTAATTAAGTATAGGAGAAATACCAAAGGATTTATTTTGTGAGCCATTTTGTTTTGTCCCTGAACAGTCAGGTAAGAAACATTAGTGTCTTTCTCCTTTAGTCTGAAGGTACAATTTGTTGCACTGTTTATGCATAACATGAACTCCCTCAAGGCAGTGATTGTAGTCAAAGAGCATGTTTTAGACTTTTGGCTTCTTACTTATCACTGCTCTAAAGCACATTTGACAAGTGTTATTCACAACCCTGGTGGTTTACAGACAAAGCTAGATTTGTTGAGTATATTTTTTATTTAAGTAAAAAAAAAAAAAACTTATGAATGCACATTTTATGATGTCAATTGCACCTCTTTTTGAGGTCACTATGTGTTTTACTATATGGATGTGATAGAAATGACAGATTTGTATGTGTTGTAAGTGTGAATTTTCTTCACTTAAACAGTATTAGGAGCTGTACTGGTGAAAGTAACAGAGCTATGAAAAGCACCACAGAATGTTAATGATTTTTTTTTTTTTTTTGAAAATGTAGCAGTCAAAGAGGATTTTAATGTACTGAACAGCTTTGAGCCCTGCCAAACACAACTGCTGTGCCTTGGAAGAATAAAAGACTAGAATAAAACAATATCACAGCGTGTTTATTTGTGTCATGGTAAATAAAATTATTCTGTATGTTTTATGAAAGCATCTGTAATTACTGAATACAAAATTACACTAACTAAATGTAGAATTCTTCACATAGACAGCTGATGGTGCAAACAACAGCAGACATTGCATTATACAGCGAGTGCTTGTTTCTAGGAGGCAGATTATTATTCTGTTCAACCACCGCCAGTCCCAAATCTTATTGGTAAACTGGAATTAGAGTAATAACATTGGCAAATATATTTCTTAAGCAAGATTATCCAGTAGTGTAGATTGTCTACCTTGGTACATTTTCTCAACTTCTCAAAGGCCACCTTTAAGAGATCTGTACAAAAATACCTGGAATAAAGATGATGCATTGAGACTTGTATAGAGAATCCATTAGAAATAAAAATATGTATATCTATTGTATGTATAAAAGTGGTTACAATAGGTCTCTACATGTCTTTCAAGGTGATTGTCAACTAGCACTGAAGTCAAGTTATTTTTTTTGGTTAAGACTGCAAGTGTACCTCTTCATATTAAACAGTTCCCTTGGCTAACACTGTCATACATGAAACTATTAGCAATTAATAGCACTTATTACTTTAAAGAGTTAAGCTGGTTAAGGCTTCCCTTTACATATCACAAAACAACATACAACAACAATAAATAAAGTATACTGGAGCATTCTTCAATAACAACTTTCTTCAGTATATGTAAAATTTAAGATCCATTTTTGGCACATTGGATTGTTGACCTTAAATGCCAGGTGGGCTCAAGTCCGGACTTGAAATTTTCCCGCCTTGGTCACATACTTGACTCCTTTGAAAGGCTTGTACTTCTCTCCATACATGTCCAAACGATTCACTTTGAGGCCTGAAATATTAATAGAGAAAGTGAACACTAACACAGATTGAGCACCTAAAATACACTGACTTCCTGTGATACCTGATATGGCCAGCTGCTGGATCTTCAGCCCAATGCTGAGTGAAGGGTTCTCTTCTGGTTTAGGGACCCCTGACTGCATGCTCAAACTTCCCTTTAAATTAGGAAGCTTCTGGGGATTTAGTTTTCCAATGTCCCAGATCAGCACCTACCAAAGCATACCAATCCACAATTACACATTAAGTATTGTTCAGGGATGCGTTGACGATACCATTTCACGTTGACATTACCTTTGTAGCAAGGTCAAAAGTGTAGCTCCCTTGTGTGGCTGTGAGGTTGGCACTGAGCACAGTCTTGGGCATAGGTATAGTAACAGATAAACACTCAACCATCTTTCCCATAGTTTGTTTGGGTCCAATGGTGATGTCCAGGCGTCCACAGGATCCAGAGTCGAAAAAATTTATGTTCTGCTTCACATACACTGGTATGGCCACTAAACTGGAGAAATAAAAAGACAATTTAGGGTGAAATTTGTATAATGAGCAGTATGTGTTGTTATTGTGACATAAAAAAAGGTCCAAAGCTGATTCTAACTTCTGTGAGTTGACATGGTAAGTCATCAGAGTGAAGTTTCCATCGGGTGGAATGAAAGAAAGCACACGCTCCGCCTCCCAGCGCTTAAACCGAACACAGGGGTGGAAACTCACATCATCAAGTAGACGGGGATTCTGTCAACAGCAATCACAGAAATAAGTTCACAAAACACACATTATTAATATTAGTATAAAATGCTTAAATATATATTCACACAAGAAAAAAGCTGTTTACCATAAAGGACAAAGTCAAGTCGGGCATTCCAGAGAGCCGCACGCATGCTTCAATTACACCCTGGATTTCAGCAAATACTGTGGTACCTAAAGAACAGAAAAAAAAATTAATTTGTGAATTATTTTATCATCAGTCACTCAGTTGTTTACATGAACTGTCCGCACCTGATTTGTCGATAATGGTGTCTATTTCCTCTATTACATCAAAATATGCCTCGTTGTTAGTGTATTTGACACCAGCGCGCCTCCATGGGACATTGGAAAGTTGCCCTGTTGGCAGTGTATCTCCAACATTACTGCTTCCTGCAATTAAATGATAAAAAATTTTGTTGATCGGGTTTGGTAACTTAAACTCTCCTGTTATTGATTAGTGTAACGATTTACCTGTGAGTGTATTGACGACCGATCGAAGGATGTTTGGAGGTCTGATCATCTCTTTGAGGACATTGGACTCTGTGGCCAATGGGAAACCATTGTCAAGCATTTCTTCTAACAGCTCATAGACAATGACCAAGTTCTCCTTGATCACATTTTCTGAGCATTCTCCAAAGTAGTCCTGTTGTTAGACATAAGTCAGAATAACAAATCATTTTAGAAATAGAATTTCATACTTCCCTCTAAAATACATTAATAAATGGTAATAATGTTTCTCATGAATGTGTGCAACTCTGTTCAATAGCTATAGGTTTTTTAAACTTCTAATGGACAAATCTCTTTACCTAGGACTGATATACAAATCAAATATATGTTGTTAAAATAAAGGGAAGGTTTTTCCATGCATGAAATGTCCTCACTAGTATTTGTGACATTAACACTCTTGTCATCACCAAAATACAAAAAAAATGCAGAAAATAGCTGAATTAATTCTGCCGATTTAGGCGCACCGTGCTACTCTTAATGTCACTGCTTTGACTAGAATGTTCTACAGTATTAAAGGGCACTCATTGCACTATTTTATGATATGTTGTAATGTTGTTACCTCATCAAAACTTCAACCTGAAGTTGTGTTTTGTTTCATTCACACATTTAACATACAAACCCTGCAAATTCAGGTTCAGTTCTTCTCTGAGACAGAAAACACTAAATTGGGTTAAGGGTAGCTGTTCAATTGTAAATTGCCACTACATGACATCACAAGGTGGAACAGAGTCTTTTGAACTTTGGAGATGTAGAGAGAGTAATAATAAAAGATTACTCAAGCATGTGTGAACAAAAAAAAAAAAAAAGGTATGTTTTTGATGAAGTTACAACTTTACAACATCGCTAAAAGCTCCTAAGTTACTTTTGTCCAAGTTACAGGTCAAATCTGCAGGGAGTGGATACCCATTTTTATTCCTTCAAAGATATTTTTGATTTAAAAAACCTTCTGTAATTGAATATATGCAAGTTTAATGCCATAGTGGAACATTGCAGGCAATCTATAATATCTCCATGGAGAAATCTAGGTGGTGGACCTTTTACCAGAAAGGTTAGTGCAAAAAAAAACAAAACTTAAAGTTAAAAACCACAAACTCCCACCTGAATCGTATCTGCCACTCTGTGTAGAAACTCTATGACAAACAGAGGAGGCACTTCGGACTGGATGACTGACAAGAGGAAGATTTTTCCCCTGTAAACACTGATGAGGTAGTGATGTGGGGTCTGCAGAACGGGGGGCACATTCTCCGGGTCACCTGCTTTGTCTTTTGCCTCGAAGAAATAGTCGCACACACTCCTGCTTATGACACTCTTCCAGTGTTTCTCCAGGAAGATGTCCCCCGTGTTATTAATCAGGAACAGGCTGTGAATCATTTCAGCGGCAACAATGCACGCTCTGTTGTCAGTAGCGCTCTGTATAAAAGAAAACAAGCACATTTATAGCTTTAAAAGGCCATTAATAATGAACTGTGCAATATGCCTTTAAATAAGAGAAATTGTTTGTGTAATAACAATACATTTCAAAGTTGAAAGTTGTTCCATAGATCAAATTCTGTACAAAAGTCCTAGGCTGTCGTAACCGCATCGACATTGAAAATAAAAGTTATTTTGTAAAAAGTTTTGTAGTTTTAAGAAAGTTTTACCTGCTAGATGGTTGTGCCCGTCCGATTACCAGTGGCAGCAAATATGGCAGATGTTGAGAGACAAATCAGTCGCTTGCAGCTGGTTTGACCACGTAAACACATCAGCATCAATGTTAATGTATCAGGAGCTACATTAATTATTAAAAAGCGTTACCATGCATGTTGTTTATCCCTATAAACAAACTCAATGCTGACTAAAGGTCAATGCAAACGAATGAAGTTATGAAGTTTTGTATTTTTAGTTAGGCAAAATCTTTAGACAGCTAAAGGCACTTCACTTTTTTTTAATTTTTGAGTTTTACCCTCAATCTTGTCTTTCAGGCTACATAAAGCGTCAGCAGTTGTCAAAATGCTGTTATTTCTCCTTAAACCCGATATGTAGATCCATTTTCCATTTTCTCATATAATAAAAGTAGCTACATACATTTCATATTCTGACACAATTCCCTATTCCTTTTTCAGCCACGAAAATGTGCACTTTACTGGTTCTGTACCAGCAAAACCTGTTAGAAACAACTTGCTAATGTTAATGAATGTGATGCGTACGTCTTGAGATGGTGAAGTTCAAAGTCGTATATTGGCATGTGGTGATTGGTGGAGTTGTTTCTTATCAGAGCCTGTTAGGTTTTACGCAGGGCACAGAACACTATTTTCCGTAGCACGCCTGCATTTTTCCTCCAGCAACGTGCAGTGCACAAAGCTCTATCAACCATGGCTTCAGACGAACCAAAGGCCAAGAAACACAAACTTTCAGAGGATGAAGATGAGAAAGATGTGTCTCCTTCAAAAAAGGCATCTTCAAAACTAAGGTGACCCAGGAATATCATAATTTACGCGTGAATCATGCATAAAACAAATCATTTGATTTTCAGTACTTGAATACTTAAGAGATTTCATTAAAGATGTTTAAGATCATTGCTATTATTGTTTGGAAAAATCCAATAAAAGTGAGGAAGATTTTGAAGAATATCCGAAGGTCGTTTATGAAATGGTCACACTTTATGGTCATAGTCTGAGATGCCCCTTCCTCCACCACAAGTTAAGATAACTCTGGCTAATGGTTTGCTAGCTATTATCTCTCGCGGCATATCATCAAAATCGACTCTATTGTTTGTGAACGGTATACCTTTAGTCTACATAGTCTAGACTCTTTTCCATTGGCGAACTTAGTTTTGTTGATATCCGGGTACAAGCGCTTTGGTTATATCAGCTCCTAATCACTGCCGATCAAACAGTCCTGTCTGCGTCTCTGTGGTGTCATCTTCACAACGCTTCCGATATTACAATCAGAATATACAGCGATCAGTTGAGGTTACTGAGATGTTGTGTCAACTGCTCTGCACACGTTGTTGGCTTCGCTGCTTCACTACTCGATAGTGAAAACCCAGTCCCGCCCTCTTCAGACATCCAATCAGTGGTCGGTGCTGGGGAATCGATGTGCGGCACACACTGTGAAGTTTTAAATATTTAGCCTTTTCTGAGCAGGTTAATCTTACTCAACAGGTTTATCACTGTTTGCATGCTGTAGCACAGAATCGCACACCATGTCTTCTGCAAGGTAAGACTTAGCTGAGGGTATTATGAGAGCCAGTGCTCCTGTATAATTGACCACACAACCTCTGTAGTCATCTGGAAGCATTGAGGATTGAGAGCATTGTGTATAGGGAAGCTAAAGGGGGGAAATATCTGGTAGATTTATATTGCACAGGGATTTAGACTAGTCCAGGCAGAGCAAGTCGGTGGGTGTTGTGTAATTCTGTTATTTTGAATAGTAGTCTTTCTTGTTTTGGTGTTTTGTATCCACCATGCCTTCATGCAGGAAGTCTGATGGTATTTAAATTTGAGGCCATCATACGGAGGTGACATCTGGACTAAAATGTGTGGAGAGGCTGTCTTCCATCTGGGTTATTCCCACTACGTCAATATCAGGGATGTAATAGAGACCTGATACAGCGAAACAAAGGGAAACGCATGGACTTGCACATGGATCTTTTTTATTTCACAGTCTTACAGCTTGGTATATTTCACTGGCCGTGAAATGTGATTACTGTTTGTGAGACAACCCCTATTATTGTGCATTGACACAAAGCACGGCGCTGCACCACAAGGACTTTTTTTTTTGCATGAGGTCTGGCTGTTGGAATGTTGTTGTTTTTGTAATGCAGATATATAAAATAGTGTTAGTGCTACAAGCATTTGCCTATGTTAGATAATGATTAAATGGGCTTTCTTTCCTCTTTTCTAAAGTATCCATTTACATCCATGTCTGTGCTACTGGCTTTCCCCTTGTGGCACATGGTTATAGTCATGTGATTGTGGCCATATGGAAACTCTTTTGTAAAAATGACATTAAGATACAGTGCCTCATCAATATGCTCTCTGCCAATTGAACTGGTGCCCGGCAATCTCATAGTGGCAGCACTGCACAGTGATCAATCTACATTTAATTTACTCAATTAGCAAATCATTCATCCTTCGCAGCTCCAATTGTTTTTGTGGGGGCAGCATTGGTGATACTGATGTATTACATAAATATTCACTTTTCAATTATTTTTCTATTTCAGTCCAAATTCATTATTTGGTATGGGAAATCCTTTACTGGACATCTGTGCTGTAGTGGACAAGGACTTCTTGGACAAGTAAGTCAAAAATGAATATCTGCTTTAAAAACTGCTTAAAAGCTGATTTGTAGAGTTTTAGGTTTTTACCTGTATTCTGAACTGTCTCATGGTGCCACAGGTCAAAAACAGGTTTTCAAACACATGTTTTGTTAAAGAGTCAACCTTTAACACCCTTATTTTTAATATTAACAAAACATTCTTAGAGTTTATATGACAACTCACAGTGAACATAAGAAGTGTTATCAAAATAACCTTGGCCTCTTTCTCAAATGGGTTAGTTTTATTTTAAGAAACTCTTAAGAGTTGGTGCATTATTCTAATCAATGCATTATTCTAAACAATGCATCTAGATCTGGCAACAGTCCATGTTGTCATTTTGTCATGTCATTGTTGCACAGCATTTTAGCATGAAGTATTGTTTACAAATATTTATTAGAGATTAAGTACAATGATCTAATGTAAGCCCAAAGTAACCATCTGACCTTTTCTGTATTATTTACAGATACTCACTGAAGCCTAATGATCAGATCCTGGCTGATGACAAGCACAAAGCACTGTTTGTATTCTAAATCATTTTATTTATGGTCTCTTCCCTGCTGACATTTGAGTTATATTTGCCCTTTGTCTTAAAAAATCCTGTTTGTGCTGATAAATGACCAGGTGGAAATCCAGAGAGTTGTCTCTAGATTAGTTCAGTTGAAACAGGCATACACCAGAATCCTCATAACGGACTTCAGTTTTTAACCCGACCAATAGCAAATGTGGACAGAGGGCTTCGTGTGCCAGTGTCAGCCAATCAAAAAACGGGACAGTTCACCTCCCAGTTTCTGTGCGTCTGGAGTAAAAAAGCAAACATTTAACTGCAGGAGATAAGACCAAGAGGAAGACTAAACTACATTATAATGTCATCAGTAATAAGTTTGACATTGTCTCTAACATCAAAACAGTTTTGATGAATATGGAATGGGTGATTGTGAAGATAATAGCAGAAAAATAGGATAAAGAAATTTTGGAGAGTTGTGTTTTAGAGTAATCTGTTTTTATCAGTCTGTATCTAATTTCTAGAGATAATTTTGAGTTAATTTGTCTGCTTCATAGAGTGGACACTACTCAGTCTAAAGCAAATTACATACTCTATCTTTCCCCAGATGCCCCTCTTATAGCTTCAGGCACAGCCAAATAAGACCCATAAGGACACAGACCTGCTTCATTTCGGCTGTAATTACCTAATATATCCAAATTTAGATGCATTTTTGCTTGAAGCAACTCGCCAAAGACCTATTTCAGTGAGCCAGTGTTGTGCAACTAACAGTCAAACAGTAACTGCAGTTGTGCATGAGATGTGTGACTACATCTAACACAAAATGATTGATTATTGTTATTAGTATTCTGTTGTAGGGCTTGGCAAATTGAAAATTGCCAACATGAGAATAACCATGATAAAATTTTTGTCAGTTTGATTTAATTTTGTTGTAATAAAAAACAATACAAATTGGAGTATCAATTTCCCAAACCAAAAAGACAATGTGAAATTACTTGTTCTCGATGCACCAACCCAGATGCTTTTACACACAGAGGATTTGGTGTGGACCTCTCAATTAAAAAGCCCCAAGCTGATCATTGACGATTAGAAAAAAAAATACATTAACTGCACAATTATATCATTTTTATGTTTGCCAGTGACTTATTGAGAGTATTTCTTGTGTTACATTTTGTAGATTTGAGGAGTTGGTGAAGAAATTCAAGGCTGAATATCATGCAGGTGGAGCTACACAGAACTCTATTAAGGTTGCTCAGGTATGCTATAAATTTACACCCATCTTAGGAATCACCATAATTAGTTTTCAGAGGCTGTAATTGGAAAAAATGACCAGTTTTTAATGTGGTTCATATGTTTTTAGTGGATGATCCAGGAACCTCATAAAGTGGGCACTTTCTTTGGCTGCATTGGCAAAGACAAGTTTGGGGAGATCCTGAAACAGAAAGCTGAGGAGGCCCACATTGATGCTCATTACTACGAGCAGAGTGAGGAGCCCACAGGAACATGTGCTGCGTGCATCACTGGTGATAACAGGTACTGATATATTTCAGTATTGAATAATATCTGAACAGTTACTAGTCTTTTCATATCTACTATTTTAAATTAAATAGACACTCCTTTCAGGTTTGGTTCCCTATTCAAATATTTAAACATCCAATCATCTTTGTATTTTTGCTTTGCATTGTTATGTTGTAAGTTGTACCTGTGCCACAAATGTACTTATTTTGTTCAGGTCTCTGATTGCGCACCTTGCTGCTGCTAACTGTTACAAAAAGGATAAACATCTTGACTTGGAGGAGAACTGGAAGTTAGTGGAAAAGGCCAAAGTCTACTACATTGCTGTATGTAGCTTCTGCTGTTATGTCATTTGTTTATTCCCTTTAAATTATTATTTACAAGCTGATCCTATGTGTTTATAACAACCATAACATAACAACCATTTGATTTATTTTAAACCTAATTTTAATTATTCTAAGGCATGTTTTTATTCTGTTTTTATTCAGGGTTTCTTCTTAACGGTTTCTGTGGAGTCTATGTTGAAAGTGGCAAACATGCCTCTGAAAACAACAAAACATTTTGTTTAAACCTATCTGCGCCGTTCATCAGCCAGTTCTTCAAAGATAACCTCATGCAGGTTATGCCATATGTAGACGTACTCTTCGGCAATGAGACGGTAAATAACTTTATTTTATTTACAAGCTTAAAATATTGAGCTTAATTTGAATTACATTGTTTTTTGTGCAGGAAGCGACTGCATTTGCTAAAGAGATGGAATTTGAGGTACAAAAGGCAGACTCATTTTATAGCAGATTGTTAATACATTTTTACAACCATATTTCATCTGTGTAGACCAAAGACTTAAAGGAGATTGCTAAGAAAGCCCAAGCTCTGCCAAAAGTCAGCAAGGAAAGACCAAGGATTGTTGTGTTCACTCAAGGAAAGGATGATACTATCATGGCCTTAAGTAAGTTTATACATCTGTTTGTATTTGTGGCTTCTCTTGATACAAATTATGTGATATAAATTATTTTCCTTTTTCCTTTTACAGGTGAAAAGATAGACACATATCCTGTGATAAAAGTTGACCCTAAAGACCTTGTGGATACAAATGGGGCTGGTGATGCTTTTGTGGGAGGTATGGAGATTTATAACTTACTTTGTATTGAAGTTTGTGACGGTTTCTAAAATGTGTGTGTCGTGGCATAGGTTTCTTATCAGAGCTGGTTCAAGAGAAGCCTCTGGATCAATGTGTGAAAGCTGCTCACTACGCTGCCAATGTCATCATCCAACGTGCTGGCTGCACCTTCCCAGAAAAACCCAACTTCAGCTGAAACCTCCCCTGGCTGTACTCACTGATTTGCCTGCAGCCAGAACTTGTCCCATTTTTAATGTAATCTCTGCTCCGAAACACGTATAACCTCAATCTATCCAGATCACTTTCTACAAACCAAGAACAGAACCTTTTTGATTCCTTTTTCATCCACTGGAGGTCAGTAGAGTGTTACAGAGCAAATTCTTCCCAGTGTCAGAAGCATACAAGTGAAATGCACACATTTTGTTTTTAAATGATTTTTCCTCAAACAAAGAAAGACCACATTTGAATGAACATTTGGACACCACAAAACAATCAAACTGACTAAACCTACAGCATGACTGTATCTGAATCTGGTTTTTTTTAACAGAGCTCAGTGTTCAAAATGGGACTATTGAAAGGCAGCTTGGTATTATATTAGGCAGCATTACTGTCAATTAATTCCTGAATACATTTCCGTCATACATAATGCAAATTTTAAAGTCACAATTACACATACCCAAGCAGTATTAAGTCACAATTTGTAGGTACTAAAACATTTGGTAGCCAAACATGAATTGTGCCTTTTCCAGATTTGAGTAGTTGTTAGTTAAGGTTAAGGATATTATTCATTTTCTTGAAGTCTAGAGCAGTGATGGGCAATCATCACGTTCTTGTTTTTATAGTAGTCCAATAGTGAATCTAGCATGTAACTTAATTGTAACACTGTATTTGTCAAAGAATGACCTTTTGCAAATTTCTGTGAATGCTTGTACAGTTAAATTCATTAGTCTTCTGTCCTAAGGCACTTTTGCCCATCTCTGTACTAGACCACCGGCAAATAAAACTTAATCAGAACGCTGTGTCTTAAAGATACATTTACATTTTTGAGGAAAAAATCTCAGTATTAAAAAAAAAAACACCTTAAAATGTTGGTTTTTTTTTACATTAGTATTTATGCTGCAGTGGCATCTCAATAGCGGTATATTCAGTGTGTTGTAAATGGTGACCTTCATTGACCTTGCAGCTGTTTCTTCTGTTTTAGTCTCTCCTCTTGTAGTGTGATATCTAGAGCCCTGAGCTGCTTTAGGAAGCCATGATTAGGCAGAATACAGCGGCGCTGTCGCACATGCTCAATGGCATCCACCACAGTTAAACTGTGTTTGCTCATGAGGTAAGCCAGGACCAAGGTGGCAGAGCGGCTCCGCCCCATCACACAGTGCACCAGCACTTTGTCTGAAAGACACATATTAAGATTATATCATTTCTGACTGAGTCTACAAACATGTTTGGTCCAGTACTCACTGTGGGGATCCCTGAGCGCTTCATGGATGAACTGTGTTGTGGAGCAGAAGTGCTGGGACATGTTAAATGTGGGTTTGTCATCGGCCTCCACACCCAGATACTGAATGTGTGAGTCACTGTAGTAGGTGGCTCCAGTCAGCACATTATTAAACTTCCCCTCTGCTGCGTTCAGGACATGGGTGATGCCCAGCTCCCTTAGACCTTCTACCTCCAGAGCTGTCTTTCTGTTTTGGAATCATATATTACAATTCATAGTGTTGATTTCTTTTAATAAAATGTATCCCTGTGGATTTCTTAAGGACTCACTCATCTCCAATGTAGATATTGGGCCAAACCTCATCCACGTGTGTGTATTGTGCCCCAGAGCCGGCCCAGAACATCTGCTCCAGGTCTAATGTCCCTGGAGTGATATAATCACTGTCAGGGTCCACACGCACCGCAGCATAAGGGTTTCTATGACGGCTCTTTGTCGCACAGGAAGTCATGATGCACCCCTGAGAGGTGAAAAAACACATTTGAATAATTTAAGCGTAACGAATTGGACACAAGCACAACAAAGTGCAACAGGTAAAATATACTCCCATCTGGGACCAGGACTCCTCTGGATAAATAAATAATAAATTGTCCCAGCAGGTTTAAACATGTAGGTATTCATGTGGTTGCAAGTGATTGTTGTGTAATTGTTCACATTAACAGGACCAAGCTGGTTTGATTCAAAAAAATTGTAAACGCAACTAAAAGTCAAGTAATGTAACAGGAGCTTGTATTCAATTTAAACTAATGTACCACCATGAAACACCGCACATGACGGCTACAGTGAAATAAACAAATATAACTTACTTTTTAGAGAATGTCCTCATCAGAGGAACAGCAGGCCTCTCCTTTGTTTGTGTGTCCATGCGTGGCTCAGGACTCTTGTGTGGGTCACTGTGGGGGCTTTTACACTTCCCCAGAATGAAAGGCTGCCTGTGGGTAACCTGATATTTTGAGTCAGCTGGGCTCCAACACCTGACCTCAGCTCTGACACAACACAAATGTAATACATGCAGTTGTATTTTACAGGCTACTTTTTTGAGGATCCCTTCTGTCAAGTTTACTAATATTAAAGCAATATGGTTGTTATGCAAAAAGCTGGCTTCCATAATGGTCTCTAATGCGGTATGTGGTCAGGTGTGACACTCCACTTTCATTTGCCTGGTTATTTTTGGAGACAAATACTTTTTAGCACTTGTATTGTGGAGTGTGCATGATTTAAAGTCACACTGCATGCTTATTGTTTTATTTTGTCATTTCATCTTGTTACAGATTTAAGCACAATTTGACAGAGCAGTGTTTGAAGTACATTTTTTTTTTTTTTTTTAAGATTCATAGGGTAGACTTAAGACTCTTGTCCAATTGTCGTAGCTGCTCCAGAAATCCAGAATTGGGTCCAATGTCTCTGTTCAGACGCAGAGCAGTAATGGCCTCCACCAAAGTTAGTCCCTGGAAGGTCATCAGGTAGGACAAAACTAGGGCTCCTGAACGGCTGACACCCATAGCACAGTGGACAAAGACTTTACCTGTAAAATATAAATGTGTATATATATTTATACTGATCAGTGTTTTTTAGGTGAATTCAGATGTGTTGGTTTATCTGGCTGTGAAAAATACCATTATAGGTGTTAGTGTGATTTTGTGCTTTTACAACTACTGACATGAAATCCATGAAGTAATGCGCCACACTCAAGCAGCAAAACTTCTTCATAATTTAAATCACATATTTATACAGCCCAGTATGATGGACTTACAATAATTGGAGTAGTGTATTAAGCCATGTGCATTAGGGCAGATTTTGCACAGTCTCAGTCAAACTCTCCTAAAGGACGATTTACATATTGTTAAATTTTTAGTGTGGATGCACCGATCTGATCCTGGTATCTGATATTAACACTTACTGAAAACATAAGATCAGAAATTGGCTTCCAAATATTGATTCAGCCCATATCCTGGTTGGATGTACTGGATAAACTGATAAGACAGCCCAGAAAGTCTCATAATGTTTAAACTTGTATTTTCACAAAGTTGTTCTGTAGTTACTTGAGGTTAATAACAGCTATAGAACACATTTGGATCGGTTTTGTCTTATTTTATTTTTGTTTTAAAAGAAATAAAGGCTGTTTTCAGTCTCTGCAGTTGGTATCAGGTATCGGCAGATACTTAAAACTGTAATATAGTATTGGAATCTGAAAAAGCAGGATTGTGCATCCCTGATTTTTACATTAGATACATTTTCACATTTATCACCATTTATTTGGGCTTAAATTGCAATACAAACATTTAGGTCATTCATTACCATTTTCCTTGAGAGCGCTGTCTATGAACTCTGCACTGGGCATAAAATACGGTTCAAGGTTGAAGTCTGGATGATCAGCAGCTTCAACACCAAGGTACTTCAGTCCCAGGTCACTGTAAAACTGTTGACCAGTATTGATGCGATATCTCCCTGCTGCTGCATTGATAATATGTGTTATACCAAGACTAGAGAGGGTGGGTTTGTCTCGGGCTACAGACCTAAAAAAAGAAAAAAAAATCACATTCAAATTTAATAATGCCTTGAGTGTAATTACCACTGATGTATTTCTCTCTCACTCGTCTCCGATGTACAGGTTGGGCCAGACCAGGTTAAAAGGTTCGGCTGGTTTCCTGTCACTCCAAATCATTTGCCTCAGCTCCATCAGTGAGAGTGTGTCTGTCTCCTGCTCAGTGTCACGACTGCAGTGATAGAAATGTCTTTGTATCATGTTTAGAGGTGGGAGTCAAGCCAGAAATATTGTGAGGGTACATTAATGTATTATGCAGTACTGATAAAATGTGTAAGCCTATATTACTGTAATCAGACACACAATATAAAAAGAAAAATAATTTAAAATGTTTTTCATTATTATTAACAATAAGTTCAAATATTACATCTTCAACAGATCATGCCACAAAATTCATACATTTGCAACTACTATTATAGGTTTACGCCGTACAGTACACATGAACCTTATTTACAATTTATATATAAACAACATAACAGACTAAGTGTCTCAGATGAGGTTAACTTCCCATCTCTGTTATTGTGTATTGGCTTTGTTGTGCTGTGATGTTTTACAGTTTTTGAGCTTGGTGTCGTCGTCTTCTCTCCCTCTCTAGGCCTTTATCGAGACTGCGGAGCTGTTGTAGAAATCCTGCATTTGGGCAAATATCCCTGTGTGCTCTGACTGCCTGCACTGCCTCCTGAAGACGAAGGCCCTCACAAATCATGAGGAAGGACAGGACCAAAGTGGCCGAGCGACTCACTCCCATCAGACAGTGGACAAACACTCGCCCTGAAAGAAACAAAAAAGGTATTCCATAAAAACAAAAGGTATTACATAATAAAACAACATTTAACAACTATCCTTGTACTTTTAAGCCATGCAAAACCATGTTTTTTTGTTTTGTTTTTAATTCAAGAAGCTCAGTTAAAATAAATAAACTGGAATAGCACATAACGTGCATAATATTTGGACATTCAGGATTTTTTTTGTTTTGTTTTTTAACCCTTTAAATTCTATTTCTCTTTTGAATCAACCCTGATTTTGGTTGAAAATTACACAAATGATGATTTTTTTCTAAAATGTGAAATGCAAAGAAGAGTATTTTGAGCTCCTTTATTGCAGCCTGGGGTGGATCAAAATTAGTAGTTTTTGTGCATTGTGATTTTTTTGTGTAATATCAAATACTCACATTTGCATTACTGAATGCGTAAAATGCACCACTGAAACCCATTCAAAATGCAGTTTTGGATTTCATTCCCATGGAAACCTTAAACATGCATTTTTACATGTGAACATTTCTAACTGAGCTTCAGACTCAAAAGTGATCATATTTACTTCTCTAAACCAGATCACACAGTTTTCAACATGTTCAGACTATGCCAAACAAACCAGATTTTCCCCATAAAAATGCATTATAATGATATAATGTGCTTTTTTAAAATAAACATCCATGACCAGTAGTTGGCGACATTTCTCGATGAGAGGTCCCTGTGTAATTATAATGCATTTCAATGGGAAAAATCTGCTTTGTTTGAGTCTGTACATGTTGAAAACTGTGATCTGGTGCAGAGCAATCACATAATTATCACATCTGATGATCACATCTGAGTCTGCGGATTTAATATTACACAAAAAGTCACAATGTACAAAAATTACTGTTGCTGCTGGCTGCAAGAAAAGAGGTTAAAATAATCTGCTTTGCTTTCCACATTTTGGACAGAAATCATTTGTGTAATTTTCAGCCGAAATCTATGTCAATTCAAAATAATAAAATAAAAACTTTTTTTTTTTAAAGTATCAATATTTAGAGCAGAAGTAGCTGAGAAGACTGAGCCAAAAGAAAGTTACGTAATAATGAACAGAAATGTTTTATGGATGTCCAAATTCAATGCACATTTTATACGCTTAACGATACAAACGTGAGTATGTCACATTACACAAAATCTACCAATGCACAAAAACAAATGCTTTTATCAGGCTGCAAGGAAACAGCACAAAATGGATTGGATTGGACAAATATCAAAATTTGTGTTTTACCAACAAAACAATTGGTCCTTGCGTGATATGAAATGGCATTTAAAGCGTTAAAATCATAAAAATGATCAGTCATCAATGATCTGATGGTCTGATGTGGTTGTTGAGCAGAAAATTTAAACATCCTCCAAAAAGCCACCGCCTCACCACATTTCATGCTTTTTGGATGAATGTGTACAAAATTATCAAGTGATGAAAAGTAAAAAACACATCAAATGTGCCGAACTATGCCAGAGGGTTAAAGAAGAAAAGCCAATGGAACAAGCCACACTAAGCTCATTTTTGTACTGGCTTGAGTCTTACCTCCCATCCCCAGAGCTGCTCTAATGTAGCGAGCAGTTGGGTAGAAAAATGGACTCAGGATAAAATCTATTGCATCGTCTGCCTCTACCCCATAGTAATCTACAGCCATATCTCTGTAGAAGCGTGGGCCTGTGTTGACGTGGAAGTACAGTTGTCCTGGACTTGGGTTGGGAGGTCCATGAGCAGCATTGACAATATGTGTTATGCCCAAACTGTGAAGAGTGCCCTTATCTCGAGCTGCCACCCTGAAAACATTTAGTAACAGTTACACTGAATCTCTTTTGGATCTAAGTCACAGGCTATGTTCACATGCACACCAAAAATATGATCATTATCTGATTTCCAGAGTTATCAGATTATTGAAATGTAATGGCAACAGTTATGTAGAGATAGATATTTGAACTTTTTAGCGTATCTATCTACCCAAAATCTCCAGCACAGGCCAATATTTTGTTTTGTCTGACTGGCTGCTTAAAATAACTTTATTTTAATACTTAAGTGTGTATAAATAACTGCACAGTTTATGGTAAAAAAAAAAAAAAGGATTGTGATTCTAAACAATGGGTATCATCATCATCATCAAAAAATCATATTGGTCAATTTCTACAGTTATGATGTGAGCAAGCTGATTTCTTCTTATTTATAAAAGATAAAATGTAATCTAGTTATTGGGTTATCTGATTAGTCTAGTTATCTTACTCTGTATAAATATACCCAGTGTGTTATTTGTTAATATTACCCACTCATTTCCGAGGTACAGGTTTGGCCACACTTGATTGACATGTCCTGTAGGCTTTTGGTCCCGCTGCAAAAAATCCTGCAGCTCTGCCACTGACGGAGGTTCATAGTGTTGATCTCTGAGTGACATGCTGAGAAAAGGGTAACCAACCATAAAAAAGCCTTACCAACCACATCACAACAGTGCAGTACTATTACTTTATACACTATTTTGACTTCAGTTTTATAATCTTACCCGTTTCATGACAAGCTTTTCCTGCTCGAGTGTCTTTGCATGGCTGCACTTGTTATTCCAGACGTGCTCTCAACTGTTTCCTTTAATAGCTATGTAATCATATGCTCATTAGGTACAAATCTGCACTGCATCTAAATAGGTTTTCTCTGCCCATTCAAATAATTAAGTTCAGCGTATAAAGAAAAGTAGTAGTACCCTCTGCACTTTATCATTAACTGAGTGACTTGGATTCCGTGCATGCAGACTCTTATGTAACACACTGTGCTTCATGTGGACTGCCATTCAAGTGCCAAGTGACACTGGTGGGGCTAAAAGAAATCAGACGGCCTCAAATACCAACAAATAAGCCAGTGCCATTGTTGGGTCAGTTATGGAATAAGCCAAAGAAGTGTAGGTAAGTTTGTCACACAATGTAAATTAAAATAGTATCCATTGTCATGCTGAAAAATCATAAAAAGTTGCTATTGTAATGCATATAAATGTTATAAATATATTTACAATAATAATGAAAAACACTTCACCACAATTTATTAAGGACACACATTTGACATTATATATAAAGTGCAATGTTGAGTAATTTGAATTGCATACAAAATAACATCTTTCTCATTACAAAAGCCATATAAAAATAAACAACACAATTAAACATGGAATATCAAAGTAATGGGCAAAACCTCCTTTTGAAGCTTAGCTGGTCATCAAGCTTTAGGAGCAGAGATAGGAAATGTCTGTTGGGGTAAATGGACCTCTTTTGTATGACGTGTTTCAAAGCATTGGATAAAGTCAGACGCTGGTGCAACATCAAATACGCCACAACCAAAGAGGCGGAGCGACTCACCCCCATGATACAATGGACCAGTACTTTCCCTGTACAAACACCAAGCATTAGTGCTGATAATGTTAATGAGTGTTGCCAATTCCTTTGACTTTTACCATCTTTGGTCTTCAAAGCTGTGTGGATGAATTCAGCTGCTGGTCTGAAATGCTGACTGAGGTTAAACTCATCTGAATCCTCTGCTGGGATGCCAAAGTACACACAGGTGTCTCCATAAAATCTCTGGTCACCAATGCTCCCCTGTTTAGAGTGCGCCGCATTTAGGACATGAGTGATGCCAAGCTTACATAACGTCTTTTTATTCTGTGCCACAGCTCTGCCAAACACATATAAAATGCAGCTGTAGTAGTACAGTTTTATGTTATCAAAGTATATCACTGTCACAAAGGAAGTATAAGCAGGTATTCTGTTTGGAACTGTCCAAAGTCTAGAAAAACTGAGAGCATTGCATAAGAACAAGCATCCGAAACTTTATGACCAATTCATTTACAATTCAGAGCATGCTTGAAAGAGAATGTTAATGAAAAATCCTATTCAATAAGAAACAATGATACGTTAAAATAGACTTACACATTTCCTATATACAACCCTGGCCAGACCTCATCGACTGGTGTGAGCTCCAAAGTGCATGAATCCAATATGGTCTCTAGCTGTTTAACGCGCCCCAGCTCCTGTGATGGTTTCTGGCTGGACATAATGCGCGTTTGTTGTGATTCTGAAGCTGCCGGAGTCCGCTGTGCCCTCTCTGCCAGCCCTGTGTCGGACTGGACAGTGACAGACAGGAGCAGGTGTCTGGGTCCAGATATAGCTCCTGTGTTGTCTGTGAGCTTTGGTTGATGTGCAGTTATTTAATGGTGTGGCTGCATTGATTGGCCTGATTGTTAATGCCTAAAGGTCCTGAGGTCAGAAAATACCGGTTAATGTGCAATACTGTAAATGATGCAGCTTTTCTTTTTGCTGGGCAACTCAAGAGTGACTGTTCTCTCTGGTTCTGGAAGCAAAATTTCTTAAATTTTTTCCCCATAGACTAAAAATTAAAATTCAAATATTAGTAAAATAGTGCAAAGACATCGTTGAGGCTAACCAGCTACTCAGTAACTAATATCGATAATGCAGTTGTTTTAAGTCCAAAAATTCAGTTTAAAACACACGATTCTGCAAAATGTTTTAATGTCTTTGCAGTTTATAAAGTTTCAGAAAGAGATTTGAAATAAAATTATAGGTCTTGTGGTCACTTTTTTTTTTTTTTTTGTCTTTTTGTAAAGTCTATAAGGAAAATTAATGGGAAATTTTGTTAGGATTAGGTTTAATTAGTTTAGGAACAGGGGGGTGGGCAGTCACTGTTGAGCTCCATTATAAAGCTGGATTCAGTGTCAGAGATGTATTTAAAGTAAGCATATAGTTCTTCACAGGTAATTAAGTAATTAGTTGAAGTGAAAGCTGAAACTATGGTCCTAGAAAGCAGTTAAGACACGCTTTTCAAATTTGTTTCATGTTTGTTACATATGAATTACTATTTATAAATAAATAATAGCTTTTGTACTTTTGGAAGTCATACTCACGTTTTGGAACATTCATTCATGGGCAAGATTTAAAAGGATGTTTTTCTTTTTTTTGAAACTTTACTTACTTTATTTAATTTTCCTTCTGCAGTTTTTGATCTAGCGAAATGAGCTGCCGCAGAAAGCCTCTATTTGGGAAGATCCATCGTTTCTGCTGCACATGTCCAATGGAGGAGATCAGGCTAAGGTGATGGTGAATCATGAGGTAAGCCAGGACCAGAGCAGCAGAACGACTGACCCCCACTGCACAGTGCACCAGCACTTTTCCTGCAAAACACGTCAGCACAAAAGAAATTCAACAACTCTTGGTCTAGGTAACAAAATTACATATTTATACCTAGCTAAGCCTTATGAAAGCTAAATGAGAATTATTGTAGATTTTCACTCCACCTGTTACATCTGTACCTCCTGTGTTTAGAGCTTGGTGGATGAACTCAGCAGCGGGGTAGAAGAAAGGTGACAGATTAAAGGTTGGCAAGTCATTGGCGGGAATCCCGTAGTACTTCACTGTGGTCCCATAGAAATCGTCACTCCCTTTGCAGCAGAGTTTTCCATGTGCTGCGTTTAGCACATGGGTAATACCAAGCTGCCAGAGTCCAAATTTGTCATGGGACATAAACCTGGTCCAAACCACAAACCCAATATTCTTTAATAATTTAATTAGTTTGCTACATGGAACTATGCTGTAACTACTTATTGGTATTGCATTTTGTCATTTACAGGTGTTTTTATTGCTAAAAAAAATATCTTGGAAAACAAACATTCTCACTGTGAATGGGGGTCACCTCTCCTCAGATCCGGCCTATAACTTCATCTAGTGGTGTCACCTGCTTATTTCCATGAAGATAGAATTTTAATGCCATACTATGGAACATTTCATTACATCTCCATGGAGACAAGCAGGTGGCAGACCCTCCATGAAAAATGTTACATAGTGACTAATATAATAAATTATACTTTCAGTAATTAGCACATTAATTACAGTAAAGAAATGACAAACCTTTTTTTAGGAGATATTTGTTTTAGTATATTCATCTCTCCTAGGTTTCCAGATAGTCCCACATAGATATTTCCTCTGCATACAGTATAAAATTTACTTCCTATAGCTTTTAATTGCTTAAGCAAATATTAAAAATGTATTGATTGGCTGATTGATCAAGAACTCTCTGACCAATGAAAACTTAGTGATCTCCAATGAGCATAAATATGGCTTAATACTCACATGTCTCCCAGATACAGGTTGGGCCATACCTCATCTCCATGGCGGCATGATCGAGGAGCTGAATATAAAATCTGCTCCAGATCCCCAACAGAGGGGCAGCTTCTTTTTGTGTTACTACCTAACTGACATTCTGATTCTGGCTGATGGTTTTCTGTTGCCTCCATGGTTTAAATGAAGCAATAATGTATTTTCCTGACCTGTGTTTTCCTGAGCTGTGTTTTCCTGACGAGTGGGTCTAGGAGGAGCAGACTGTGTCGTAGTGTGTGAGTGTCATGGACAGGTGGTGCAGTTTGGCAATGATGTGATGTTAAGGATTGAACTCTCCCATGTTATAAGGTAGTACAATAAATGATAATGTAGGCTAAATATATGCTATGTGGGCTCTTTTGGAATTCCAAGTTAACAGAGTTGTAACTGATTTCTTTATTAATTTGAAAGATTAAGGCTACTTGTCCCCATATAGGAAAAATTGTCATGCTGCAAATATCTTGAGCTAGGGTTGTTCACTTCTATCCAGCTGGAAGATTAGTGCATAATTTAGGTTTTGGTAAATTAATTAACTAATGAATTATCACAGAAAAATAGAAAACGTCACATAATGGAAACACCAAGACTTTGTCAAATAGGATGTAAAATTGCTATGGGTTAATTTAATGTGATATATTTCTGATAAAAGAAATTCGACTAATTCCTTCCCAAGTTGAGTGAGACAAAAACATTCATCCAATAGAGGTTTACATTTCTGATATTTGCTTTTTATGGAAAAACGTAATTTTCTTTACTTAGAAGTCCAAGCATGAAGTTTGATGAAGACTTTTACTTCAGAGGGATATTTTGTGATAAAGTGGTGAAATGGAAAGGTGGTCTGTGAGTTCTACGTCCACATCATTGGTGTAGTTTAGCAGCAGCGCCACGGGGGGACAGTCGAGTCGTTTCTCTTCACTATTTTGCTTGTTCGTATTCTTCCTGTTTGGGGTTGCTTGGTATCAAAAGCACGTTGACTACAAAATACTGCTTGGAGTTGACGCGTAAACCGAGGGCGCAACAAACACTTCCCACTGCGCTCTGACACAAGATTTGGTAAGATTTGTCTCTGTTGTCTCTGATGTTTAATGTTTGTTTAAACTTAATATCCACATATTTTGAAATACGAGTGTGTCGTAACTTTACCAAACTCGTGTACTATTCTATTTTCTTCGGTGGGTTGATTTGATGCGTAAAGTATCTCTGTGGCGTAACTCCCACAGTAGGGTGTTGTGAATAGAGCTTAAACACTGGAGCGCTTTTCTCTGTGCTCTGTCACGTCCTATGTGACTCACAGTGTAAGCCAGCCAAACCAGCTGACTGGGCACTCACACATCCCAAAAACCTCAGGCCAGAAAAACTGCGTAATGCTGCTGGTAAACTCGTATCACGACTTAAAAATATCTTATTTTTCATTAGACTTCACTGCATTTCTCCGCTGAGGTAAGTTTCAGCGCCACTGGAATAGCTTTTAAAATATTAATTTCTAAGGAAGTATAGATGGGAGCTCTGGGTAACATATAGCGAGCTAATTGCCATGTATTCATTATTGACACCCTACATTATTGATAAAGGGCTTGAGGCAGATATTTATAATTGTACATTCTTCCTTCAAAAGCTTTTAATGTCCAGCTGATTACTTCTGTAATCTCTGGTACTACAGTGGATGTTGGTACTCTGCTCAAAATTGTGTTAGTGATTTATTGTTTTATTAGAGCCTCTAGTTGGATTTCTCATGGATTATATGAGCATTTTAGGCCAAATTTGGTACCGGTGTAGTTCATATTTAGTAAATTTTCTATATTATAGTAGTAAGATAGCCAATTGTACAGTGAGCTGTGTTCTTTATCAGGACTGATTTTCTAATTTAAAGCCTGCCTTTTAAATTTTGATTATTTAGTTTTACTCTTAAGACCATCTCCATTCAGCATGTACTTTATCAGGAGGGCATTTCTGTGGAATGGACCCTAGAACTTTGGAGCAGGAGCACAGGACAAACTGCTTATCTACAGGTCAAAGGGAGAGAAAAACAGAACAGAGCTGATCCACAAATCGGTGGGAGAGTCTAATTGTAATACTCACAGAATGTAACTTTGTGCGTACTAGGTAGGTAGTTCAGTTGTTCATGCAGTTTTAATTGTAGCTGATATAAGATGTTATTTTCTGGATCCTTCATTAATTTTTAGTATCACAACTAAAATTTAAAAATTGTCTTCACCTTGTGTTGTGTCACAATGTATAAATATACAGAATATATTTATGTTGATTAATGTAAAGAGGTTGTATTGTTAACAAGATGGCATAAATGAATGACTATGATCTAATTTTTCTCTGACTGTTTAAACATCTATGAATAATACATTAATCACAGATGATCTCAAACTGTGAAGTGCATTCATGTGTTTCTGAGAATGTTATGTGATGTCTGTTTGCTGCAGATAAAATACATTTAGTATGTAAATTGAAAATCAAGTGGCTTCATCTGAAACATCATTTACAAGTGAAAAGAGGGTGCTTTTGTATTGTGAATAGTTGTAGAAGAGGACATGACTGAATATTTTTCAAGGCTTTGATCAAGTCACCATAATACCATAAGGATGTGTGTCTGTGCTTGTTCCTCTAACAGCAGTTTAATTGCAGTAGATGGAGGTAATCTTGTGTCATTTGTCTCTCTGCAGTGGCATGGCAGCGCCGCAGGACAGTGTGAGTGGTTGGAGCTGCAGGCGGGTGGCCCAGTGGCTGCAGAATGAAGGGTTTGGGGAGTATGAGGAGCTGCTCTGTACCCAGCATCGACTGGATGGCCCCAGTCTGCTGGCCCTAACAGAAGCTGACCTACGTGGCCCTCCTCTGGGCCTCACTGTATTGGGGGACATCAAGAGACTGGCCTTAGCCATTCGCCAGCTGCAAATGCAAAACCACTCACAGCTACAAGTGCTGGGCCTCCAGCCTGTGGACAGTCTGATCCCTGGACTCCCTCTCACTCCTCAGGCAGACTGGAGCTGGGAAGGTTCAGAGCGTAGATGTAATGGAGCAGATCATCTGTGCAGCAATGGGACTGAACTGAGGCACAGGATCACTGACCGGTCGAGACCTTATCCAGGAGACCCTCTGTGCCACATTCACTCCAATGGGAGGTGTCGTCTGCACCTGGCTGGACGGCTGGACCCCGAGGTGTGGAAGACCGTCGTGAGCTGTGTATATGTGTTTTTAGTTTTTGGATTTACCTCCTTTGTCATGGTCATTGTACATGAGCGTGTCCCGGATATGACCACATACCCACCTCTGCCTGACATATTTCTCGATAGGTAAAACACAGATTTTTAAAGAAAAAATACAATTGAATCTGAAATGTTATACAACACTCCCCACAGTCATTTCACCTGTGCTCATATCTAATCAAGTAACTGATATTGGTGTCTGTGTACTGACAGCGTCCCCAGAATCCCTTGGGCTTTTGCAATGGCAGAGGCCTGTGGCCTCATCCTTTGCTACATGTTCCTTTTGATCCTTTTACTTCATAAGCACAGGTAATTCTATAGTACTTTTACCTACTACTGTCTACTTCATTTTAATTCATCTCAAAAAACATGCACCTCCCTGTGTTTCAGGTCTATTCTCCTTAGACGACTGTGCTCCCTGATGGGAACTGTGTTCCTGCTACGCTGCTGCACCATGTTTGTGACTTCTTTGTCTGTGCCTGGGCAGCACCTCAAGTGTGCGAGTAAGGTGGGAGGATCGTGCATGTTTATTTTAAGATTAGGTTGTCGTTGAATGTTTCATTTGGTTATCATCCGTAGTATGTTAAAATGTAAAAGATGATAAGAACAGCATTTTTTTTCTATTTACAGGCATATGATGATGCTTGGGAGAAAATACAGAGAGCCTTGACAATCTGGACTGGTTTTGGCATGACTCTGACTGGGGTCCAAACCTGTGGGGACTACATGTTCAGTGGACACACTGTAGTCATCACAATGCTCAACTTTTTTGTAACTGAATGTAAGTTCAAAATGCATTTCTATAAAAATGCATGAGTAGAACCTGAACACATTTGGGAAACTGGTCCAAGCTTTACTGACCACCCTTTCCTTATAGAGAGAAATGTCAGTGAATCAACCCCCACTTAACCTATGTGTTAATTAAGTGTTTAAATGTAAATGTGCTTTTACCATTCCAAACCATTTCCTGTCTGCATTGATTCAAAAGGTAAAAAGCCTGTGGCGTATTCAAATATGTAGCCTAGGCATCTTAGTTTGTATGTGAATGGCAAAATCAAGCCTCCTATTGTATAATTTAACAGTGCAAATAGTTAAAGGGGCTTAAACAGATCAGCCAAGGCACTCTTATTGAAAAGTCCTTTTATTACAAAAAGTGGGCTGTAAATTATTCAATAGAAAGCTTTATTTTGCCATTTTAATGTTCATAGGTAGCCCTTGAGGAGCACCATTTTTTTATTTTTTTTTTTACTTGTAAGGCTCATCAATGCACTCCAATCTCTAGTCTTGGTTGGTTTGTGCTTAGAATTGCAATAATGGCCAGAGCTTAACCTTTATTTTCTGTTACAGACACTCCTCGAACCTGGAATCTCATTCACACCATTTCCTGGGTGCTGAATTTGTTTGGGATTTTCTTTATCCTGGCGGCTCATGAGCACTACTCCATTGATGTATTTATTGCCTTCTACATTACCACTCGCCTCTTCCTCTACTACCACACCTTAGCCAATACACGAGCCTACCAGCACAGCAGGAGGGCGCGCATCTGGTTCCCCATGTTTTCATTCTTTGAGTGCAATGTAAATGGCCCAGTCCCCAATCAGTACAACTGGCCTTTCAGTAAACCTGCCTTCATGAAATCAATGATTGGCCAATAGGAGTAGTTTTTGTATGAATTCATTTATTTACCTCATTACTTTTATTTATAACCAACTTTAATCTTTCAATGCTAATTTGTTGAAAATGTTTAAAAAGTCTTATTTAAAGTCTTAAGTCTGACACATATTTATATGATAAACTTGGTGGGTTTCATGTCAGTTTGAATACTTTTGGAAAAAAGCCATTCATGCTCAAATATGTTTACACAGGCCAAACCACAGGAATTATGCATTATTTACCTTACCTACCTTTATCTCACCTAGCCTACCTTTACCTTCACTAATGTTTTCTATTTTTTTTAAATAAGATGTTTACAAAGCTATATTTTAATGGAGAAAAAAGTTAAACTTGTAAAACTGTTAATTATATTTTTATTTTCCCTATTGGGTAAAATGTGTTTTTTTTTTGTTTTTTTTTTTACATATTATTTATTTTGTGATATTATTGGCATCTGTAATTAAATTTTCTATTGAATAGAACACATCTGTAGAGCTGCAGTTTTTATATTGAGTAATTCATTTTTGTTCAAAATAATGGGAAACAGAACTTAAAATGCATTGTTTACAATACTGAAGGTACTCACTTTACAACTGTTTTACATCTCATGCTTTATTAACATTGTGTGTGCCATCTCAGCCCTTTGGCAATAAATGTTTACATAAATTACATGTTCCATTCTTTGGAGATTTCCTTTAAAGGCACATTTTATTTTAAGTTTTAATGATGGTTAGAATCAAATATGTTGAGGAAAATTATCAAGTGTAGCAAATCAAATTCCCACCCCTAAAATAAATACAGTTTGACACCACCTCTAAAGTAATCTTTAGAGACCCATTAGATATAAAAGGTTTGCACATGGGAGTTATCACACAGACTAGCCTTCTGCAGACTGACTTTGCCTTTCAGAATGGTATGTAATTTCAACTTTTACATTTACTGGCATGATACTACAGATCATATTGACTGGTAATATTTAAGTTGTTTATCTCACATTATTTTGAGAATTATAGAGAGTGAATTTGTGCATGTACGAGTTAATATTACCAGTTATAAGTTATTAATTGAACAAACTGACCTTTTATTATGCCACTACATTATGTTATTCAGCCTTAAATATTGCATGATTGTATTACAATGATTTCTTTTTTAAGGCATCACTTGCAGTTTTACTTAGTTTGCTGGGGCTGGTAGTCTTGAGTAACTCCCAGTGCGTCTTTGAAACGGTACAGTTCAAGGATGGCAGCGCAACAGGTGAGTGCATAGCTACATCCATTTAGGGCACAATTTATTTATTTTAGTAATATTATTATTTCTTTACTACTTAACATGTTATCAGTATTACTACCTCTGCCACTGTGATACTTTATACTATAAATACTATAAGTGTTACTATAAAGTATTTTACATATTTACAACTTCACAATCTATTTAATTGATGGTGCAATTTGTAACGTTTCTGGTGGGGGGTCCAACAGTTGCAGGTCTGCATGAAAATGTTTTTGTTTTACCTGGAATTAAATTGATCTTTTTTTCTTTGCAGAGGAAACCCGACTCTTAGTAAGAATGCATATTTGTAAGGGATTTTAGCAGTAAAAACTACTACAATCAAATTAAACTGCGATTGAAAGTTAATGTCATAAAGCGGAACATTCCGTGCAAAGCAACAGCATCTCCTTTTAAACAAGCAAGTGGCAGGCCTCCACCAGAAAAATCACTGCACCTTTAAATGCTTTATTAAATGCATGACTAAGTGTAACGCACATAAGATTTATCAAATCACATCCGTGACACATGAATATAAAGGTAATTATGTTTCTTTGGGCTGTATTTACTTTTCATTCAGGCTGTGTGGATAAAGAAGGAGTAGAGCATGAGTTTGGCTCTGCGTGGGTGGAAGACTGCATGAACTGCTTATGTTCCGAGGACGGTATAAGCTGCTGTACCATGTAAGATGTCTATTCTATAAAACCATAGCATTTTCAAAGTTTAGTTTATGACATTTCTCTTTCATATTACTATAAGGCTGCCTGATGAGAATGCGGAGGTCCCTGAAGATTGTGAGCTTATTGTGGACAAAGAAGTCTGCTCTGCCAAAGTAGTGCTTAAATCGGACAAGACTACAGAGTGCTCACCCATTTAGTTAATATTTTGAATCTGGCTTGCCTGTGGGTAAAGAAAAATGAAAATTGACTAGCTGACAACTTGATTAATGTTTGCTTTTAATACTGTTTTCCCATTAACGGAAGAGATTGGTGGTCCCCCAATTTGTCCCAACATTGTCTAAAAATAAGCTGAACAAAAACTGGTAAAACAACCCAAGCTTGTTGTATTATTATAAACATATAGAAGAATTATATTAATCTTTTTTTTTTAATCAGTAAAGGTAATAAGTGATTTTTATACTCTCATAATTGTATAAAATAAAATTAAATAAAAAATAATTGAAATATGGATTACTCGTGTCACCATATTCTCTGTAATATCACTGTAAGATCTTGCAGCACCGAAAATGAAGTAACTGAATTCATGTACTGAAAATACGTATTCAGAATACTGATTTTGAGTATAGTTAATTTTTTTATATGGTGGCATTCAGATTACAGTTACTTTTCTAAAATCAAAGGAATACGTTACGGTATTTCGTCAGATCACACAATTTAGGCTTCAAACTGCACATAATCAATGAGAGAAAAAAAGAGGAAAACGTTCTTATAGTGAGTGCGTAATTTTTCTTTCTTTAATTTGTGATTGGAAATGCATAACATACTTTGAAACAAACACAAAGCTGTTTTTAATCCCGTGTTACGTCTTTGCACTATAACTTCTATGCAACTCTGCGTGAAATCAAGTAATTTCCCTTGTGGATCAATAAGTATTCAGAATACAGTACTCTGATTGGCCCATGTGTCAGAATACATTACAAATACATTTTAAAGCAGGTATTCAGTATTCTGTAACTAAATACATTTTCATTTCATTAAATAATCTCCCCATCACTGTCCATAAAACATTAACCTGTCACTGATGTAATTACACGAGCCCACCACTACGTGACAGCAGTGACACCCAGAAGCGTAAATTCTCTCGTCTTCGTGGTACCTCTCTCAGACACGCAGCTTATGCATCAGGCGCTCAGCTTGTGAAGATGCGCACCTTCTGGACCAACTCAGTGCACGGACACACCTGTTAAGAGCAGCTCTTCCTTTGTCAGCCTTGTATCCCACAGGCCAGTCTTAAAGGTATGTTTCTGACAATGTAATGTGATAAAGACTTTGGTTATGAATTTTTATTTTGCATTCATCATGGTCATGCAAATGTCTTGTGCTGTGTTTGTTACACTGAAAATATTATTATATTAACATACTACATTACACATAGCATTTTTATTTGTATGTACTACTGTACTTATTCTATTAATTGGCTAAGCCATTCTTATTATTTTAATGGGTGCCATATGGCGAAATAGATAACTGGAAACGGTTCCTGAACAGCAACATCTAAGGAACCAAAAAATCATAGACACAAATAATGAGGCAAGGTTTGTTATTTAAGGTCGAAAGCTTGTCACTGTGTTTGCCTTATAGGAAGCTAACTGAGACAGCAGGAGAACCATCTTTTAATGATTTTTCTCAGTATGGTCTGAGAAAAATCATCCCAATTAAGGAGCATGTATGCATGGAAAATGCATCTTAAGGTAAAGGATTTGAATGTAGCAGCTTAGGGGATATGGGATATGCATTTTTTATATGTATTTACATAAAAGTACTAGTACCTTTTTTTCTGTGGTTTTCACCATTTACTGACTGCCCTCTACCAAAGAAACAATACTGATGTTATCAGATTGCAGACTGTACTGTACTATACTAAAAGATTTTATTTCATTCCTAATATTTTATAATCATATTCAACACATATGGTTGGCTGTATCATGTTCATGTATTGCTTTGTTATTTTGCCATTCATTTAAAAACGTTGTGGTTGATTGAAAATACAACACAAAACCAAACTATGAATTAAACTATAAAATGTGTTTTGAGGTAGAAGTAAATGAATAACAACCTCTAAAGTGTATTCAGATAGAAAAACACTCAACTCTATGTGAAATGGCTTTGAATCATTGTCACATTTTGCAGTAGAAAGTACACTTCAGTACTCTTTGACTCTGTGGTATGAAAAAGCTTTTTCTGATGCTGACTTTGATGGGCAGTTCTGTGCCAGGTCACTGTGCTCTTCATGCTGCAAATATGTTTCACTGCACACAGGGATTTGTGTCTTTTTGCTGTCAAGTGGACTTACAGGACGTTCTCTATAATAGACCTCCAGTTTGTTACATCTAGTTAGAGGTGACATAATGTATTTCTTCACTGGATAATCGATTCTGTGCTGCCCTGCCTGAAGCTCACTCACACACTGCCAAAGTAGATTAGTAATGATGCACCATGAAGTGACTGATAGCTAAGTGTATGTGCCTTTAATGGGGAATGACAGGCTCATTTTGTCTGCTTGTCACAGCACACGGTGGCAGGTTTGAGGGAGAGAGTTATAATCCATTTTTAGGATTCTGACAATGTCGTGCCCTTTTCACTTTGCTGCACGCTTTATTGTGCAGTGCAAAAAACTGAAGGCAAGGCTCATGTGTGCACAGTAATTTTATTTGCACTATCCTAATGACTGAGACCTGCCATGGTGCTCATCTACTGTGAGCAGTAATTATTGTCAGATGAGGATTACACGTACACTCTTATGTTGCGACCCTCGCTCCATTTAATGACCCCAGGTACTTGGGGAAGAGCACTTTTACAAAATAGAAAAGGACCTGAATACATTTTAATTCATTAAGCATACTTTGAGAAGCAGCAGGGATGCTAAAGGTAAATACAAAGAACATACACACAACAAAGCAAGCCATATACAGCATGTACTTCAAGATAAAACCTTACCCCTTTAACCAGCATTAGTTAAGCAAATTATCTAATCAATCAGTTTAATAAGCTAGGAGCAGCTGCACAACCAAAGAGAACTGTTTAATTAACTCATAGGTATCTAGGCAATCAAGTTGATAATGAGATTACAATGTTGAACACACAATAGGGCAAAATTGCAAGCTTGAATAAGTAAATAAGAATGACCCAGTGTGACTGAGAAGAGAAGGAGTGCTCCAATTAGCACTTTCTGATGGATTATATTCATAACCTTAAAAAAATGAGGTCTATCTGATCTTTGCATATTATGTTTTCTTAAATCAATTGTTTTAAGTAATATATTCTCTAGATTTGAAGCGCATTGGGTTCCACAATAAGTGCTAATTGGCAAACTAAGGTTCATTGTGTTTTTAATGAATTTAACACTATCTTTTATTCTTTCACATGATAATTAGTAAAGAGAAAGTGATACAGTTAATAAAGGTCACCTAAATTTGCTGTTTTTATTCCCCAACACCTCTCTTCTATCTTTGCTAATGCATTTTCATCTTTATCAGGCTTATAGACACCTAAAGGTGACAGAACAAGACAAGAATTAGGCTACAAACAAGATACAAAAATAGTGCATGATAACGAAGATCGTAAAACAAGGTTCAATTGAAAATCCTACTTGAGTTATACCAGCAAAAGGTCAATTTTAGAACTCAGATTAGACCTTTCACAAACAAAAATGTAACACTGAACATACAAACCCCAGAAAGGCACTTTATAAATGTTGTCATTTGCAACAACCAAGACAAGTAAAATATATATATATATATATATGAAATATATATGAAAATACTATATTAATTGTAATATTAGTTAAGATGTACTCTATTTCTTCTCTGCATGGTGTGATTTTTTAAATTTCTTTGTGCTTCCCCCCCCCCAGATATTTTCAGCTTGCTGCGATGGACAGTTTGATTGTGAGGACTGGAGGCTCTGAGGTTCTGACGAAATGTCCTTGAGTGGCGACACAACCCAGTCTTCTCTGTTGGCGCCTGCTCTGCTAGTGCCCTTAAACAGCAGCGCCTCTCCTCACTCCCTCCCATGGGCTCATCCCAGTCACCCTGCACCACAGCTACAGGAGGAGTGGCCCAAGAATGACACGCGCCTTCTGGCCAACCTCTCTCTCCTTGGCCCCCACGATGACTGCCATATGTCCCCCATCCTCACCACGTGCCTTGTGGTGTGGTACAGCGTCACTATGGTGCTGGGGCTGGTGGGGAACATTGGCCTCATTTGCATCATTTCACGTTGTAGGGAAAAAGCCAATGTCACCAGTATTTTCATCTGCAATCTGTCATTCTCTGACATTCTGGTGTGCGTCTTCTGCCTCCCATTCACAGTCATATACACGCTCATGGACCACTGGGTGTTCGGGGCCCTCATGTGTCGCCTAGTACCGTTTATCCAATGTGTGTCTGTGACTGTGTCTGTCTTGTCATTGGTGTTTATTGCTTTAGAAAGACATCAGCTCATCATTAACCCATCTGGATGGAAGCCCAGTATTCCACAGGCCTACACAGCAGTACTTCTCATCTGGATTGTGGCCTGCTGTACATCTGCACCATTTTTGGCCTTTCAACTACTCAGCAATGAACCATACACTAATGTACCCATACCAAAATCCTCCCTCCGTACTCAAGATTCAACTGAAACTTATAATTCATCTTTTAGCGAGAAAAACACTTCTGCACCTTTGAATTCTTTCCGCCACCTCTTTTCCCATGGCCCACAATCTCCACATATGGAAGCCTGCATGGAGCATTGGCCATCACCTAAACAGAGGCTGGCTTATACCACGTGGCTATTGGTGTTTCAGTACTGTGGCCCTCTTTTGTTGGTGCTGCTCTGTTATGTTCGTGTTTTTGTGCGACTGAGACATCGTAAAGACATGCTGGACCGAGTGAGGACCCCTGAGAGTCAGAGGGTCACCCATAGTCGCAGAATCAACATCATGCTGGTTGCACTCATCACAGCCTTTGCTCTGTGCTGGCTGCCACTCACCATCTTCAATGTGCTGTCAGACTGGAAACAGGAGGCTCTGCCTGTGTGTCATCACAACCTGTTGTTCTCTCTATGCCATCTGCTGGCCATGTCCTCCACCTGCATCAACCCCATCATTTATGGCTTCCTCAACTCCAACTTTAGGCAGGAGGTGAGAGAAGTGATCCTGCACTGCCGCTGGAGGCCTGCAGAGGAGTCAGAGCATTATCCAATGTCAACAGTGCAAATGGAAATGTCCCGCACGTCTGTGCCTCAGAACTGCAGGAGCAACTCAATATAACTTATGTTATGTCAAACTATGGGTTATGTTCATTTGCTTATGTATTTGAGTATTTTCTAAAAAAAAAAAAAGTGCTTTGTTATATAATTTCTATATGATTGTATAATATCTTACAGAGGTGCTGTAGGCCTAAATGGATCAAATCAAACTATTATACTATTGATACTGTATTTATTAGTTCATTCTATTTTGGACATCTGTATGGCAGCTTTTGATTTTGTGTTTCACTTAATTTTTTGTTGTAATGTAAAAAGACAACATTTTTCAGTTTTGTAACCATTTTTTAATTATAGTATGAGACAATGTGGAAATAAAATTATTTGGTGAATAGACTGAGAATATACTCACTTCATAATGCGTCAGTTAGAACATATCAAACACATGAGCCCCAATTACTAAGCTTTTATGAACAATTATGGTGTGTTACAACAGGGTGCACTTCATTGTACAGAGTAGCCTCTGCTTTGTTGTAGACCACACAGGACATCATGGTAAATAGAATATATCTTATCAATTATATTTTGTTAAGATCAAATAAGAAAACTAAGGCTAAAAATACAAGTACAGTCCACTTGTTTGCCCAGTTAATTTCATCACCATGGCATAGCTGGCCCGAACTTTCTGAACCAAAACCTACCATGGTAAAATAAGCACTCTTTCCCTCCCTTGCTCTAAAAGGCTATTAGAGACATTGGTTATTTTATAGAGATTATTTAGTTCCTTTTAAAAGCAGAACGCAGTTTAAAGCCAAATCGTTGCCTGCACCTTTATTCTTTGGCGTGCACTACTTATTTAAAAAAAAAAAGACTTGGGGACGGGGGACCGACGCACGCCTCACGCACGCAGCCGGCTGTTTCCCAGAATGCACCGCGTTACAAACTCCAAGCGCGAACGATGTGAGCCGAAGTCAGGTTTTGTCCCGAAAAACATCATTTTAACACAATTACCACCACAGTAAGGGCATGACATTTATAACAAGTCTTTTGTTAGTTATTGTATAATATTATTTTACCCGGTTATGTACATATGCATGTGTTGGTTTGGTTCAGCTGACATTTTGGAGAAGTACTCGTTGCTAGCTGCTTTTCCTTCGGCTGCCTAAATTAGCATATTTATGCACAGTTAAAACAAGATAAAAAGCACATTAAATCGTTTTATCGTCATGTTTCTCCCTCTATAAGCCACTGCTGCACTACGTTTTGAGTTATTGTGATTGTTATGAGAACTTCTGTCAGTGTGAATCGTGAGGTCTTTGCTACTTAAACGTTAATAATACACGTCACAGAAAACGATAACCGAATTACTGTCATTAAACACTGATGATAGTGTAATTTGTGGTTATTATACGACATGTCTTTCAAAAATAATTAGCTACAGGTTAAGTTCTGAATTAGTTACTTAATTAACTTTACTGATTGTCTTGTGTGTTTTTTCTTTGTAGCTAACGGTGGGTAAGGCCTCTAATGGCCTCCAACAGCAGCATCTCTTCACTTCTGAAGGGTAAAGTTAACATAATTACAACTCATGATTGTGTTTTGCTTGAATTTAAAATGTAGCTACTTTCACTGTAAGCTCCATCTCAATGCTTGCAGATGTCGTTGCTTATGTGGACGTGTGGTCATCAGATAAAACTGCAAATTATTCAAAACCATTTGTTCAGCAACTCCAAGAAATGGGGGCTCAGGTATGTCATTTAGCTTTTATCCCTTAAAACATAATAAAAAACAATGTATTAATTTCCTTATGTTGCACACTCTTATTGACTCTGTATGTTTTGCAGGTGACAAAAGCATTCACCAAACAAGTGACACATGTCATTTTTAGCAATGGGCATTCTGCCACATGGAGGAAAGCTAAAAAGAATAATGTGAAACTTGTCTCTGTTCTGTGGGTCAGCAGGTACAGTTAAACCTATTGATGAATGTTTTTTAATACAATATTGCATGTTTGAATGATATATATTTCTTCTTTCAGGTGTTATGACGAGGCAGTGCAAGTCAATGAGGATTTATTTCCAGCTTTAAATGAAACCAACCCAGTATTAAAGAATAAAAAAGTGAGTCATTACAACATTGAAGTCATTACACATTTATTGACATAACTTTGTATGGCATAAAGCAGGCCATTAAAGCAGGGTTTTGTGGTTTTAGCATCGATGTATGCAGCCCAAAGATTCACCTGAAAGAACCCCTGACAGTGACAAACGCATGAGAAGAAAACTGGACAAAATGATGAAGGACCTCACTCCTATGGAGCCTCTGGGTGAGCATCTGTCCTCTGTACTAAAGAATATTATCCACAAACTATTATGGTTATCTCTTATCTTGTTTTATCATAGTTACAGACGTTTCACCTATTATAATTGATGAGAAGAATGGAATCATTTACAGTCCAGCTTTTAAAAGGTCTGATTACATGGCACGACGTTTAAAGGATATGAAAGAAAAGCATGAAAATATTTCTCTGACAGGTAAATGTGGGTGGAACATTTTACAGTTTTTATTGACCGCACCAAGCACTTCATGATATTATTGTATGTTTTAGCATCTCATATGGAATCGCCCACTGGACTGAAGCCTTCTCTGGGGAACTCACCAACTGTCTTCAAACATTCATGTAGGTCATTTACACCCTAAAGATTTAAAGGTCTTATATTACACAAAATTCACTGCTGTGAGGTTAGAATGTTACCTCATCAAAACCATACCTGCAGTTGCTTTTTGATTCATTCACATATGTTGAGTCATCCTTTATTATTATTATTACTGAAAATGCTCAATTCCACCTTGTGATGTCATGAAGAGGTAATTTTCAATTTTCAACAGCTACCTTTACCTTTTGTTCAGTAGAGATAACAAATCCAGGCTGAAATTATATAACCTATTCTAGTGAAGGTGTATGGAGTTTAAAAACACAGTGGAGCACTTCAGTTTAAGAGAAGAACTCGGACTAAATATGCAGGGTTTAGTTTGTGTGTTAAAATGTGTGAAATAAAACATGAAACAAAACACAACTCCAGGTATGTTTGTGATGAGGAACTCACTTTTTAGAGCAGTTTACCATGTTGTTTTATCATTCAAATCCTGGAAACGGATTTGGTTTTATTTATGATATGCATGTTGTATTTGCATATAGATCATCTTCCTCTACAACCCAAACAAAACACAATGACTGAGCTAGAATTGAAATTGTAAAGTAATGCCCAGTACTTTATTTCATTACAGATGACCAGTCTGATGATGACTCTTGTCCATCTGTGGCTGAAACAGGGTCTGCAGCTGAATCTCCTGCGAAAGAAGAGGGAACATCACTGCCCAACATTAAAGACCATCAAAATGAACGCTTAAGTACTGAGACAACAGAACAGCCCTGGATCGCTCCCTGCCGTCAGATGTTGGGAGAAACACATATTTTCCCTGTGAAATGTCTAAAGTTTTTGGAAAAGGAGGACAAAAAAGAGAAGTATAGACGGAAAACTTCAAGGAGGTCATCAAGGGTATCAATGAAAAGAAACAGTACAGAATCAGTTAAAGGTATTTTAACTGACACTCCGGGCTCATCTGACAGCCAAAAGTCTGGTAAGAAAGTCAGTAGGAGGTCTACAATCAAGTCTCCTAGCTCAGCTTCAAAGAAGCTAAAAACTTTAAGTAGTGAAAGTAGAATCAAAAAGGGACAGGAATTGACAAAGGGAGACAAATCCTGCACAGAAACTAAATCACCTGAAAATGTGAAATATACTGCCAGTACTACTACTGATGCTGCTACTAGTCTCTCAATTAAAACTACCTCCCCAAGAGAACCAAGTGAATCAAAACTGACCTCCATTTTCTCTGCTTTGGTGCGAACCCCCACTTTATCTTGTGAATCACACAAAACTGTGTCTTGTTCCACTGATGGAGATGATGATGTGTTTGAGGACTGTTTCTCTCCTTCTAACCTCGGACAGAAACCAAAAAAAGCCTCTCTTTCTGGCCTATCTGCAGAAACCTTTCAACTTCCATTTGAACTGGACTCTGACTCAAAGAAAAGAAAACAGAGGCGAAGTGAGAGTGCTGTGAATGAAGCAAGCGCCACTAAAAAGAAAAAACTGAAGCAGAGCACATTACATTTAAAAGACCTTGATACAGTGGAAGCTTCTGAAAGGCTTTCACACAAGGACGGAAATAAATTGCTGTCTAACCTGGGTAGTTATAGTGATAATTTAAAACAACTGACTAAAAAAAGGAGACAAAGTGCTTTGCAGTTCACTTCTATCTGTGCACCAACCACACGGCACAGGCAACTGTTGCTCTCCACTGAGACAAGAAAGTCAGAAGAGACTGGCGCTGCTTTAGAGCTGCACAAAAAAACAGACAGGAGCCTAAAGAGCTCTGTGGCAAGTGAGTAAAAGCTCAAACATATTATCGACATGGATCATGTCATAAGGGAATGGGATTCAAATGTTACAATCAATAGGCCTGCAACTAACAATATTAAAGTAAGTTACTAGATATGGGTACATTTTTCAATTAGCTAGTCCCAATTATGACTTCTTTTGCACACAGACTTTAAAAATACCTTGTCAACCAAGATTTAAATATGGTGGTGACTAGAGGCTTCTAAAAAGGGAATATGTGTGAATAAAGTGTGTTATTGCTGACAATCAGAAATTGTTTATTATTTGTTGGTCATATTTTATTAATAATACCTCTGTCTTTGTTATAAAAAGGTCTTTTAGTGTGTGCCTGTATAGTCTAGATAACCATTACAATGATCACAATATGACTGATCATTTTTTATAGTGGACTAGTAATATTAATGATTGACATAGAGAATATATTTTTTTTTATATTTAAATTAAATTGTATATTAAAGTATGGCTGTTTTGTGTTTTCATTAGTTATTTAAAATTATGTGTATAAAAGACATTTATTAGTTAAAACATTGCAAGGGTTGGGAGTGGCAGATCAGCATGATATAAAATGTAGTTATAGCACTCCCTCTGACAGCTGCACCATTTGTTTTTTTTAATTGAAGGTAAAGGAAATGAAGATACAGTTGCGAGTAGGTTAACACAACCTGCCTCTCAAGAACAGACTGAAGAAAAAGGCACAAGTCTCCAGACGATGGTCCACTCGACAAAGGTACAGATTTTCATTTCATTCACACTTCTATTCTTGCTTGCGTGACCATATTTCTTTTTTTTTTTTTGGAAGAAATGTTGAACTGAGGCCTCAATCTGATGAACTTTGTACATTTTGTTTGTTTACAGTGAACATGAAGATATTATTAGTTGATGCAAGTAAAAACAAAAGTTCAGGGATGTAAATTGTTTAGCTGTATTGATTAAAAAAATGGAAATCAAGAACAGTTGTCTGCATACCACAATTTTCAAAGTAGCAATGCAATAAATCATGCTTCTTCTATCCCCACAACTTTTGTTTGAACATTTAATACATGGAAAAGCATGGTCTCCGAACACATTTTATATTAATAATATAGTACTTTTTTTTAAAAACAGCATTTACAAAGTGCTATGGGATGAAACAATTTGACGCATTCAGACAAGTGGTTCTTTCTAGTCCTGAGGGTTTCCTTTGTTTTGAGTTTGTGATGTAATGTATCACTTCCTTGCCTCTGAAATGCACCTGGAGCTCATGTTTGACCTCAGCATCAGGAGCCTCAAAACAGCATTTCATCATTGTCACATCACATTATATCTGAAATCCATAACAGTTTTGCTTTATTGCCATAGTGTGGAGAGCCCAAGCTTTCTATAAAGTTGGCTGCCCAAGCTCCTGTTAAGCATATGGCTGTCTAAAGCTTGTGCCAATTAGAGTGTGTGGATGTGGAAAGCTGTGCTGTGCCCATGGATTGTTTTGGCAGCGCTGTGTGAGCAGTGGGCCTTAACCCCTGACCTCCAGCTGCTGCAGCAGATATGAACGTGTGGCAGGAAACAGAGCAACGGCCTGTTTACTGCTGCCGCTCAGCTGTTTGTGCTGCCGTGGATACGACTACAGCTTTAGCTCCTGTGCTACTTGACTGCAATGTTTTCACCTGAGGGTTCAGTCTAAAAACTCTGTTTCATGAGTATTTATTAATTGAACTTCTGAATATTTATGGCTGCTGGCTATGCAATACAATGTTTTCCCTATGTTGATTGATCAAAGTTAGTTTTTTTTTTTAAGTTTACGTATACAGTACAGTACAACATATACAATGTAGACTTCTAATCCTCTCAGTTTCACAGAAATAGTAATTTTGGTTCTAAACCGCATGCTTTTACTTACAGGTCCAGTATATTCATTATTATTGACAATTTAAAACAATTGGATCTCGATCTCTATTCAAATGTAATGAAATGCTTTGTTTGTTTGTGTTTTTAAAATGCTATTTCTGTTGCTTTTTAATTCATCACCAGAAGTTATTAACTGTTTGTCTTTGTATCTGGGAAGGTGGGAAGAACACTGGTCATGACGAGTATGCCCACTGAGTAAGTAGCCTCTTAATCATCCTTCAGCATTAAAACCCACACTTTCTTTATTCTACTCCCACTATGTATACTTTATTTATTACAATGTCAAGTTGTAATAAGTACTTTTAGGCAGTATCAATGACATTTCTTGGTATAATTTTTTTCTGTGTTACTTCATTATCAATGTACCCCTGATACTAGTCATTATTTAATTATTTGAATCAATATAGTAATATGTCTGAATATGTGTGTCTAATAGCATTTTCATAGGATTGCTATGTTATAATTTATTTTTGCAGGAAGCAAGGCACGGTGGTTCAGGTGGTCAAGGCGTTGGGTGGGTTCACTCTTGTGGATGAAGTATGTGCGAGTACGACTCATGTGGTGTCAGGAAGTCATCGAAGGACCTTGAATATCCTCTTGGGCATTGCTCGAGGCTGCTGGATTCTGTCTTTTGAGTGGGTATGTCATTGAACAATATAACCAGACTCAAGGATGACACACATCTTTTAAATTTTTCTTTTTTATTTTCTGGGACAATCAGATTCTTTGGAGCTTGGAGAAAAGGCAGTGGATCCCAGAGGAGCCATATGAACTTTCAGACCAATTTCCAGCAGCACAGGTTTGCAAAACTGAGAACTGCACTAACTGACATTACAGAAAAGCAAAATGCAATAGTTGTAAAGGTATATCATAGTATAGAGCTCTAAAATGGAATAAACCTAACAGAAACTGGACAAAAAATCTCTAAACCATCCTTGTAGATTGTATTTATTAATGAATAGTATACTCTCGTAACAGTACACAGACATATGTTAGTGGCAGAGAAATTATCTTTAAGTTATGAGACCAGTGGAGTTCAAAACTAAAAACTAAATGTTTTACTATGTGTTTGACTATGCATTACCTACATGTATTTTGCAAACCCTTTAAAATATATAAATAAAAATATACACTCATAGACAAAACATGCTCTACAAAAGTATTTTACATTCTTAAATAATTTAGTATCTTGTAAAATATCAATCAGTAGTAACTTAGTTAGGGCATCTCTGTACCATTTTCTACATCTGAGCAGCATATTCATTCCTATTACCTATATTTTGGTGGACTTGATAAAATTGTTTACAAAAGACTTACAGTAGTATTACATAAAGTTCACTATTACAGTCAAGAGCTTTCTTTGTGTTAATGGAGTGAATGTCCTTAATCCTTTGGTTGGTTTTGGTCTGTGTCCTGGTGTCAAAGAGAGCTTGAGAAGTCCACTGGTCTTATCATCATTGTTGTGCTTTTCAGTGAGTAACCAGAGCCTTTCCAGTAGTACCATTTGATTCCATTGAAGCGGTTTGAGTTCTGGCCCTGCTGGTAATACATCCCATTCAAATTGGAAGGTCCACAGGCGTCAAACCACCAACCTATGAGAATAAACATGATACAAAAAAATTACAATTCAGTTCAGTTTATCACAGGCTCACACAACCTCTTGCAATTTTTTCCATGTCGTGAAATTATTTTAGTTTTAAATCAAGTAAAAATAGACCTTAGACATTAACACAGCTGCCCCGTTGTATTTGTACTAGAAGCAGTTCCTGTTTGTGCTAAATAATATGCATGATAATGTGATAGTTCAGAAGGAGAATCAACATTTGAATAATTTTACAGAGAAAAACATTTGGGAAATATAGGAACATTTAGCCGTCTGAGAAAATGACCCAATAGATGTTGGCAGCAGAGTGGTTTTCAGGGGAATGCGGGAGAAGACTTCAACCACAGGAGCAAAACGGAGAGCTGTGTTCCCAGCCTCTTAATGTCAGCTATTGTTGGAGCTCTGAATTCTCAAAGTCGGGAGGTGATTAGCTTAATTCTGACTCTGCTTCTTGGCCAAAAGCCCCTTTAATACCTCTGAGAATATTTAGGTGTGACAGTGGAAGCTTTTGGGCATTATTGATGGTGTAATGTGTTTTCCTCATGGCCTGATAGGAGCGTTTCTCACCTCCAGTAGTAAGTTGGGAACATTTGCAAACACACTTGTCGTTGTCCGCGTCCTTTGTACTGAACTCACTTCCTGGCTGCCCGATGCTGCTGATTTTTCCTGCAGTTCCACTGTAGCCTTTAAGGTGTATCCTGTAATGTGACAAGGAGGCATGAGAAGTCTGCCATGATTCTCTATGATTATAATCACAGGCCCTGTTTCTGCATTGGTGATAATTGGAATCCAGTTTTGTGTAAGAAGATAGTTTGAAGATAGTTATGTGCCTCTGTTAGTGTAATTGTTCTTTCTAAAAGTTTGTATTTACTTACTATGTGTTCATGTGGAGATTTCTCATTTTGTTATCTGTGACTAAACAAGATGTATTAAAGAGACTAGAGGAGCATTGCTTGTGCGAGGAAAAAGAGGAAAAAAACTTTTGGAAAAACAAAGTGTGCTGGAAAGTGGACTTCAAAAGCCTTGTGTGATAAGAGAAAACATTTGAATTGCTGATGGGCCTCTTTTCTTATTAACTTAATGCTAAAGTTACCTGAAGCAGAGATTACGCAAAACACATTTGAAGACAACACAGAAAACATTTCCTTTGATGTTGAAAGAACTCACCTATAATTCTGTTCCTCACTCTCCAATGAAAATTGGTCGTACTGTGATAAGCCAGAGTTCCCTTCCCAGTCGTTCAGTTGAATTCGCAGTTTGTAGGAATGCGCATTTGTCAGTTTGTAAACAAAGTCATTACCAAGCCAGTATTCATTGGAAGGTTCCCCAAAACCCTGTGGAAAAATAATCAAAAGAAATATTTTTGGTGAAATGTGTAAAGAATTCTGAATAACAAAAATGACACATCCATAAATGAGTTTTCAATCTTTTCAGTTATAGAGCAAAGGCTCACTATTAAAAGCGTTTTCAGACACTCCAATGTCCCTCTTTACCTTTCTACTCAAAACCAACAGAGACATCTTCAATTGAAGGTGGAAAGAAAAGCGTTTCCAACGTTTGACTTTTCTACTGGAAGAATTTGTGCTCACCTTTTTGTACTCCTGCCACGAACGGTGAAAGTCAACATGTCCATCAAAGCGTTTTTGTATCACAGTCCAGCCTCCTCCATCTGTCTTCATGTCGCAGAAGGCCTTCCAACACAATTTACATAAGCTTACATGACCTCAATAATGAATGTTACAAATGTCTGCTTGAAATGAAAGTTACAGTAGTTATTTTATCTTTAAGAGAGATGTTGGTTATGCTGCAACTTTTCTGGTGGAGGTTATGTGACCTGCTTGTTTCCATGGCTCTGCCTGAAATGTTCAACAGCATGGCAATTATTGTATCTATCTCCATGGAGACAATGTAACGAGTGAAGCTGTGCATATGGTGTATACTGGAATATAAATATAAAGAGGTTGTATAGTTCTCACCTTAACCTCTAGTGTTGAGTCTGGGAGAGTCAGAGTGTAGACTCCACTTTGAGTATTGCCCGACTTGTAGACAGCAGCACAGTCGATGTGTGTAGTTGGAATGTCTTTCATCATGGCTGTTTTGGTTTCTGCAAGAATGTCTTTGAAATTAATGATATTGAGATTGTTTTAGTAGGATGCACATAGTAAAAACTGATCATTTGAGAGAAAACTGAAATCTGAACTGCTAAACTAATAAAAGAATCACATGCATTTCAGAACATCTAAACTTTAGTACATAATGAGAAGGAGTATATTGTCGTTTGTTGTGCAAATATATCTTGCTTAAATAATTGCAGATTTGGTTGCACTTAATCTTGGATCTACAATTGGCTTTGCTCAAGATTTTGCAGAGCTCATCACATTAATAAGAATGGAATTGCTGTATTTTAAAATTACATAATTTTGTAATTGATTGGTAATAGTATTTGACCGTATCGGACCCACCCGCGAGTGTTCCTATGGCGATGGAGTGAATGAGACTGTTGACAGAGTCCTGGAGTTGTTGCTGCTGGCTGTGCAAGACTGTGTTGTTGGAAGACACTCTGATCAGCTCTTGTTGGAGTTGTCCGATCACTGCGGTCTGTCTCAGGAGCAGAGCCTCCAACTGCTGCTTTTCCTCACGAAGAGTCTTTAGCTCTACCTGCCTTTGCCCCTCCATCTCCTCCACCCTCTTCTCCAGGTAACTACAACAAACACATGCTGGTTAATAAGACTGCACCCTCTCTGTGGGCTGAAAAGAACATGAGAACCATGATCTCACCTGTTCTTGTCATTCAGTTTATTTATCTCATTGCTTTGAACTATAACTTGTTTTTCTAACTTGTTGGTTGACAGCGCGTTTTCAAGTAGTTTCTTCTCAAGTCGAGTTGTTTGGCTAATTACCTAAAATAAGAAATAATTATTGTCAATTAGAGGTAAAGTTGTGGTTCAGAACATGCAAAATTTGAATAATAAGTATAAGTACAGGTTTTCGTTTCAAATAATTTTCAGCAGCTTGCCGGGTTCTCTGTTTACATTAATGCCTTTACGATTGCATCTCTGCGGATGTTTGACATATCTTGTTTTTCTTGGTTCAGTCCTGAGCGCTATATAGTCATGGGTTTTGCACCATTGTGTTGTCCTGGAAATTAACAATTCAAAACAAAATATACATATTTTTGAATGGTAAAAAGTATTGAAAATAGTGCCTATGAATAATAAGAAAACTGACCGAAAATGTTGTTTATGTTATGTTGTTTGTTGTTATAGGCACATAGTCCACCTGCCACAATGCAGATACACACAATTGACTGCTTATTTAAATGTGTGTGACAAACAGCTATTGGCAATTTCATAGTTTGGATTCTATTGGAAACTTTTGCATAATGCTTCTGACTTTGCTGATCCTGGTGCCCATCATGCAAGCCTGTTCATTCAACTACACTGTAAATAAACACCACTGACAGCACAGAAACTGCAAACGGAAAGTCCAACAAAGTTCAAAGTGACCAGACAAACTTGATTGAGGGAAAGTTTAAATCCATATAGACCAATGAATTAAACAAAACAAGGGGTTGGGGACCTTGCCTCAGAGTTTGTCGCTTGGAGGAACTGAACTCAGCAGAAAGCGGCTGTTTACATAGATCCTGGGTTTGTGTCTGTATCAGGGCTGGTGATGTCTTTGAACAGACGGATGTGTGATTGTGACAAACTGATAGACCCTTTCTGTGGGAATACGACCGTGCTAATAACAGGAAATGCTGTACAGTTGGCTCACGTAAGGTCACTGATGTGTAGCCACAATAATAAACTTACACCATTCAACCTGTTTTTCACTCTGTTTTTACCACTGCTGTTTGTGTAATACAGAGAGGACGTTTAGCGGAATGAAAGTGGTTTCGATAATATTTTTGTCCCGATGCTTTAAAAACAACTCTTGTTATGTGTTAACAGGTGCAGAGCCCTATATTTCCTCCGGGCTTAGTGCTTCTATTATTTTCTTTTCTTCATTGTGTAGTTTCGAGAGAGAGAAAAAAAACTTACCTGCGTCTCTACATTGGTCAGTTTCTTTGATTGCTCCACAGTCTGGCTCAGCAGGCTGGCTCCTATCTCTATCATTGTGGCTGTGTGATTTTGGACAGCAGTCTGTTGCATTTGAACCATGTCGTGTTTTAGATTGTCTTGTATGTAGTTCTCCAA